AGGAAGTTTTTGGGAAGACAGCTACCTGACTGACAGACTGAAAAAGGTTCATATTTGCAGTCCCAAAAAAGGTGATCCAACAAAATTATTGAATCATATCATTACTATCACATGTAAGCAAAATATAGACAAAGATCATTAAAAAATGGCTAAAACTGCCAGAAATGTAAGCTGGATTTAGAAGAGGTCAGGCACCAGGCATATTATTGATGATATCAGATGGAGCCTGGCTGAAAGTAAAGAATATCAGAAGAATGTCTGTGTTTTTGTGACTGTACAGGCATCTGTGCAGATCTTAACAAACTATAGCTAACATTGAGAAGAATGGGAATCCTAGAACACATAACTGTGCTCATGTAAACCTATAGGCTGTGTAGACACAGCAAGGAAACTCTACATGATTTAAAATTAAGAAAGATGTGCATCAGGCTTCTATTCTCTCTCTGTACTCGTTCAGTTTATACACAGGCCTATCAATCTGTCATTGTACTAGTATATAGGCATAAATGCTGACTTTACACATGTTGGTATACACAGGAATCAAATTGCTTCATAGAATGAGTTCAGGAGTATTCAAGTTTTTTTCTGTTTTGAAATAGCTTGATTAGAATTGGTGCCTGCACTTTCTGAATGTTTGATAGGATTTACTAGTGAAGGCTCTTGGGCCAAGATTATTTTGTTTGGGAGTGTTTTCATTACCTTTTAGATTTCTTCTTTCATGCTGGTTCTATTCAGATTTTCTACTTCTTTGTGTACTAGTTTAAGTAGACAGCAAGTTGCTAAATATTTGTCCATTTCCTTTCTTCTTGTTACATGTCGTTGAACTGAGTATGACTCATAGCGACCCTGTGAACTAGAGTGCTGAACCTTGCCCTGTCTTGAGCAAATCTCACCATTTCTGATACCCTTGTCCCCATTGCTACTGTCACTGGTCACTGTGTCAATATATTTCATCAAGGACCTTCCTCTCCTGCACTGACCTCCTACCCTTTCAAGCATAATGTTCTTTTGGCCCAAAGTATCTGAGACAGAGTTTCAAAATCCTTGCTTCCAAGGAGCAAACTTGTTTCACCCTCTTCAGGACAAACCTGTTTGTTGTCGGGCCAGTGCATGGTATGTTCAGTACTCTTCTACAGAACCAGAGCTCAAAGGCGTTACTGTCCAACTCTCTGATATACAACAAGTAACTTAACAAGGATGATGGAAGAAGAATTGATATTTTGAATAGTGGTGTTAGAGAAGAATACCGAATATTCCACAGACCACCAGAAGAATAAACAAGTCTGTCAGAGAGGGAGTGCAACCAGGATTCTCCTCAGAGGCAAAGATAGAGAAACTTTGTTTCATATACTTTGGGCCTGTCATCAAGAGAGGTCAGGATTGGAAAAAATATCATGTTTGCTAGGGTGGAAGGTCAGAGAAAGTAAGGAAGATCCTTAAGTGGTGAGGATAGCACAGAATAGGGCAAGGCTCATAGGGTCGTTACGAGTCAGAGTTGACTTGATGGCACTTGACAGAAACGACGACATACTTTCAGTTCATTTATAAAATTCATTACTAGAGAAGCTTCTTTGCTTATGCAGAGCAATATGTATTATTTACTTTCTTCTAGAGACTATATACTTGTTGCTCTTTTTCTGATTTCCAGAGAGGCTAAATCAAGTGTATGTTTTGGGCTTTTATTCTTTTTTGATGTCTGTCTGTCCCTATAAATTGACTTCTGAACACTGCTTTTGCTTTGCTCCAAAGCTTTTGGCATGTTGCATTTTCATATTTGTTTCAAGAAATTTTTTATTTCAATTCTTGTTTCTTCTGTTACCCAAATGTGTTCAAGCAAGGTCATACTTAGCTTCCATGTACTACCCCTGCCCTTGCCCTTGATTTTCCCCTTTCTGTTGTTGATTTCTCACTTTATGGCCTTGTGCTCTGAGAAGATGCTGTGTATTTGGATGTTTTCAATTTATTGAGCACTTCCCTGTGACCTAGCATGTGGTCTATTCTGGAGAATGTGTATTGTGCCCTAGAGAAGCACGTGTATTGTGCTTTTGTTGAGTGGAGTGGTTTGTGTGTTTACAGGATCAAGTTGGTTGATCACATTGCCTTAATTGTATTTTTTTCTTTGACTTTCTTTTGACCAGAGTTGTTGTTTTTGTCATTGTTAAGTGCCATAGAATTGAACACAACTCCTAGTGAACCCATGTGTAGTAGAGCTGGACCGTGCCCTATCCTGTGCCCTCACTGTCTCTGGTGTGCCCACTGTCACTGTCACTGTGTCAGTCCTCCTTCTGACCCTCCACTTTGCCCATTTCTACTTCTACCTCGTATGTGTTTATGTTGTTGTTGTTGTTACGTGCCGTCGAGTCGCCTGCGACTCATAGCGACCCTATGTACAACAGCCCTAAACTCTGCTCTGTCCTGTGCCAATCGCACTGTCTTTGACACTCCCATCCCAATTATCCCAGTCACTGAATCAATCCACCTCATAGAGGGTCTTCCTCTCCTGTGCTGTCCCTCCACCCTCCCAAGCATGATGTCCCTCTCTAAGGACCAGTCTCTCCTCACAACATGTCCAAAGTAAGTTAGACGGAGCCTCAGAATCCTTGCCTCCAAGGAGCCACCCGGTTTAATCCTTTCCAGGACAAATCTGTTTGTTTTTCTAGCAGTCCATGGTATTCTCAATATTTCTTGAATAAACAATATTATTTATAGATATGGTTCTTAAATGTCATTATAACAGTTACATAAAAATCTTAATAAGACCTTTATAACATTTTTATTAAAATTGGCAGATCTGTAATAAAATAATGATTTTTATTTATGAAAATTTAAGAGAAATACAGGTACTTTAAGAATTATTTAGAATACACTTAAATATCATAAATATATCAGAAAACTTACTACCTCAACAGACTGAAAAAATATAGTTATTTTTTTAAATCAGGGTTATATTCTCTTTCCATACCTGTTCAATCTATATGCTGAGCAAATTATCCGAGAACCTGGACTCTATCAAGAGGAATGTGGCAACAGGATTGGAGGGAGGTTTATCAATAATCTGCATTATACAGATGACACAACCTTACTTGTGAAAGTGAGGAGGTCTTGAAGCACTTGTTGCCGAAGATCAAGGAATGAAGCCTTCAGTATGGGTTGCATCTCAGTATCAAGAAAACAAAGATTCTTAACACTGGATCAATAGGCCACTGCCTATTGTCATGATGGATATAGAAGAGATTGAAACTGTCAACAACTTCATCTTACTTGGATCCACAATTGGTACGAGCAGTCAGGAAATAAGGAGACACATTGCAGTGGGAAAATCTGCAGTAGGGACCTTTCCAAATTACTGAGGAATAGTGATGTCAGTTTGAGGACTAAGGCACATCTGATTCAGGCCATAGTCTTTCCGATTACTAGCTATGCATCCAAAACCTGGAAAATGAATAAGGAAGACAGAAAAAGAATTGGAGCCTTTGAGCTGTGGTGTTGAGTACTGAACATCCCATGGATGGCTGAAAGAACGAACAGATGCCTTGGAGAGGGTGTGCAGCCAGAGTGGTCTTTGGAGGCAAGAATGATGAGGCTTTGCCTCACATACTTTGGACATGTTGCTAGGAGGGCCTATTCTTTGGAGAGGGACATGATGCTGGAAAAGGTGGAGGTGAAGGAAAGGAAAACCCTCAACCAGGTGGATTGACACGATGACTGCTGCACTGGGCTCTTGTGTGTCAGGAAGTGTTAGGATGACACAGGACAAAACAGGATCTTTTGTTCATGAGGTCGCTATGAGTCATACTTGATTTAACAGCACCCAACAACAACTGAAAATGGGGAAATTAAATAAATAGATCATATTATAAACTCACTTAACTTCAGCCTCATAGGAAATTTTACTGGCTTTGGCAGCATGGTGTGAGATGTCCATATAAGAATAAGTTTTCTGTGTCTGTTCCTTATCTATTTGGTACTAGTGATGTTAAGATTCTTTTAGTTATTCAGACTCAAAACCTTAGTTGTTGGGAACTTGAGCATCTGTAATCAGTCTCTACTTTCTTCTCACTATAACCCAAATATAAGACCCAAACTCCTCAAGCTGACATTAAAATTTGGTCCTCCTTCGCCACCTCCTCCATCTTCCATGTTTTGAATTATAGCCTAACTATAATTCATTCTGCAAAGATTAGTTACTGAAAGACTGAGGTAAAGACTGTCCCATATGTCCAGTGTGCGGGCCCACTCATCATTTCTGACACTACCTGTTCTTTCCCTCCCGCTCCCAGCCCACTTTAGTTTCATGTGTGTTTTTGACTTGTGCAGTTCCCTGGAAGGTCAGAGAACCAATGAAGGAAAGGGGGGGAAAATTAAAAAATCTCATAATGCTGTTGATGCTCTAAGCAGATGAACGTGGTTTAAAGCCCTGGTGAATGGTGAGCCCCATGTTCACAGGGCGGCCAGGGTGAGGCAGCTCCATCAGGTTATCCCAGGTTAGCAGAGAGAGAACATCCCAGAGGCTGCTCTCCGGAGAAGTACCATGCCCTAAGGGTGGCAGGTTCGATCTTGCCTTCCAGTGGGCTAGAGCCTCAGGGCGTATCCATTCTGTCCACATGTTCCCACCTGGCCAGATGACAGAACCAAGGGCAACAGCCTGGGAAAACGCTCATAAACAACAGGCTCACAGCACTGCATTCATTTCCCAAGAGTTCTCAGACGCTTTCACGGCTTATTGGTGAGGAGTTGCACTGCTAGTCTAAAAAGGCAAGAGGTTTGAATCCACCAGTTTCTTTGTGAGACAAAGATGGGCAATCTCCTTATGTGTGGTTTACTGCCTCTGCAAACCCTGAGGGCCAGCTGTGAGTCCGTTCCAACTTGACGGTATATACCACCACCACCACCAGTCGAAGGTAACATTGTAGTTTCTCATTTTGGAATTTGTGTTTGTTTTTTTCTACCGGGGCAGCAGAAATAACTGAATCTAAAATATATTTTGTTTTATTTTACAGATGACAGAAGTCAAACGGTTCTTCCCTTAGTGAAGTCATTTTGTGAAAAATCTTTCAAAGCAGATGAATCTATTCTCGTTTCCTTATCGTTCCATTTAGGAAAGCTGTGCCATGGACTGTATGGTATGATAGATCCTAAAAGTTTTCAGATTATAAAATAAAGTACGTAAAGAACAAAACTCAATGTAAATTATGCACTTTAATATTTATGTGTTTAACCCTACTGTAAGGTGTTGATACTTGGAGAAATTGCAAGGGGAAGAGGTGTCTATAGAGGAGCTCTGTGCACTTTCAGAACTGTCTTCACACTTTTCTGTAATCCTGAAATTTCTCTTAAATATAAAGTGTATTTAAGAAAAATCGTAGCATAGATGAATTACCTGTTCCCTAAAATAGTGAGTTGGGACCAGCCAGTTTATCAAATCTTTTGAGCTGCCTTGACCATCATTTAGATTTAATTTTTAAGGTCTTTCTCTGTAGACATTTATACTTCCCATCATTTTAAGGTCTTCCCTGCAGGCAAATTTAGAATTTTTACCCTAAATACATGAAGATATACATAATGACTACAGTATTATCATCATATTGACTTCTTGTTGTTAGGTGCCATTGAGTTGAGCAACAGATCCTGACCACTGTCCTATCCTGAGACATCCTGATGTAAATCAATATCTCTCTCGCTATGTCTATTTCTCTCTTTCTCTCTCTCTCTCTCTCTCTCACACACACACACATCTCAAAACTCACTACCATTGGTTGATCTTCCAGTGAGTTGCAGAGGCTATAATTTGTGTGGAAGGAGGTTGTCCATCTGTCTCCTGCGATGCAGATGGAGAATTGGAATCACTCGCGGGATGTGACCTGTGGGTTAACAGCACAGCTGCCTGCAGGCAGTGCCTCTGTGGCACCAAGCAGAGTGGAGATTAGCACAAGTTTAATTCCCCTGTAATGTTACAGTTTATTCTATCGAAATTAACATAAGGTAAACCAGCATGATCCATTAATTTCTTCATAATTGTCAACTCTTTGTCTCCATTTCGCCTTTTTTACTCTCAGTGGCCTCTAGTCATTTGTTTAATTGACTTACATGAGGTTTTGACACTTACTGCGTTTTTTATTTTCAAATATGTTTATTGTGATTTAATTGACTCTTTTAAATTTCTGTATTCTATGAAAATATTGAGCTACATTTTCATATTTGCTTTAGGGATTTTCACTCCAGATCAGCACTTGAGATTTTTGGAGTTTTATAAGAAACTTTGTACATTGGGTTTGCAACAAGAAAATGGACACAATGAAAACCAAACTCCACCCCAAATCTTAGACCAGGAGAAGAAATATACTTCAGTACGGAAGAACTGTGCATATAACTTTCCGGTAATAAGTCATATACTTTTGTTGACTCAGCATTTTTATTATAATTTTTAAAATGTGGGCAAATGGAATTAACAATTTTTCCATACTTCTGCTTCCACTGTATGATGTGTAATATACAACATATAATTACTTGTGGAATTTATATTCTTTTCTCTATACGTCAGACCAACTAGAATTATATAATTACTGGTAGATCTTCCAAATATGATTTTTAATTATTCTGAGGACAGGATTTCAATTAAAGTGAAATTATTCTAATAGCTATTGATGCATGTTTTTCTCTCCTTCCCATTCATCTCCCCCTCCCACTTCCACCAGGCCATGATTGTTTTTGTTGATCCTAAAAACTTCCACCTGGAACTCTATTCTACATTCTTCTGCCTTTGTCATGACCCCGAAGTGCCAGTCAGATACACTATTGCTATTTGCTTTTATGAAGTAAGTCTGAAGAATCAATACCACTTTACCGCTTGTTAGTTTTACTTATGTTTATTAGTTATTTTTTTAACGTTTTCTACATACCTGTTTATACATTTATTGTAATACAGAGACTACATTTTTTCATGTTTTAGTCCTCAGTCTCCCTCTATTTTCTCTTCTTAGTATGTTCACGGAATTCATTTACATAAATGCATTATATTTATTTATAAATCCATTAATTTCATTTATCTTTACTAATTTCTAATTTTATCTAAACAATGTGGTAAATATAGATGTTACAGATTTCAAACCCAAATAGATTTTTTAAAAGTTACTTGATTTTTATTTGATCCGGAATCATTTATTCCTGAGCCATAAGATTTTATTTCTTCAGTTTATTCTGAGATTTTTTTTTTCTTCTGGGCCACCTCCTCTCCTGGTCTAGGAATTCTCTGTTCCTTTTCAGGAAGAATCATCCTCAGTATGGCAAGGGTGGTTCATGTCAGGGTTGATCGACCATATGGCTAATCTGTACAAGTGGTGGTGGAGCATCTTGGGAACTTTGTTTACCTGGATGTGCCCAATGACCAGAGAATTGACATCTGAGCCCTTAAGTTCCACATTACTCTCTGCATTTTTTTTGGCAGTTTTTATGGTTTATTTAGCACAAATAAAATGTGCAAACAAGCTTTCTATTCATTTTCTTCGCTGCGCAGTCTGGCGTTGGGGTTGGTGACTCTAATGGCCAGCCGGACTGCTCTTTCCGCAACGGCTTTGCGGTTCTTGGAGGAAACGCTGTGTGCAATCTCAGCACAGGAAGATTTGTTGCACATCAGCAGCGCCTCCAGCTCCTTGACATTGTGGACTAGGAACGTGCGGAAGCCACTGGGTAGCACGTGCTTTGTCTTCTTGTTGCTCCCTTAACCAATGCTGGGCATCAAGATCTGGCCCTTAAATCTTCTCCTTGCGCCACTTACGCTTAATTTTGACATAACGGTCTGACTGGTGGCGGATGAATTTCTTGGTCCTCTTTTTGACGATCTTTGGCTTCACCCAGGGTCCTGAGGGCAGCCATTATGCCAGTGGCAGATGACAGCCGCCTCCGTAGAAAGCGTGGAAGGAGAGAGAAGGGCCGGGCGCTAAGCTACTCTCTGCATTTTTAAGCAAAAACTTGGCACTCTTTGGGGCCACTGACCCTGTGTCCAACCCCACTGTTTGGCCTGGGCACACCTGCCAACTCCACCATTCTAACATCAGAATGGCACACACTGCTTTTGCAAAGTGAAATCTTTCAGATATTTGGTGATTTTCTGTGTATGTGTATCTTTGTTGGCCTGGGCAGTTTTCTGGGGATTCTTAAAATGGACCCAGAGATCTGAGCCTCTTGATTTGCATGATTTTGTGGATCAAGCTAGTAGTGAACTATTTATGGGAGATCTCCTGCGGCTACTCACAGGAAGATACGGAAACTTAAATACATTTTTTATGCTTACATGTAATTTTTTTTCTTCCTTTCTGCAAGTGGTTGGATTGCTCTTTAACACCTTTTTTCCTGGTCATAAATGAAAATAAGTATTTGTTGTGCAGGAAAGATTCTCTTCAAAGAGGTGAATTTAATGAAAAGCTATGCCAGTATTGCACAGTTGAATTACTTCAATCTTGCTTTTAGAAGAGCGAAAGGGAAGATTGGCTTGTTGAGTGTGGTAATACTCCCTCCACCCAAGCATTAAGGTTAGCTGGGGTGACTCCAGGAGCTCTGGTGGCATAGATGGTTAAGTGTATGGACTGCTGGCTGAGAGTTTGCCTGTTTGAACCCATCCAGCTTTGCAAGAGAAAGACCTGGTGACCTGTTGCTGTAAAGATTGCAGCCAAGAAAAATCCTGTTGGGTAGTTTTGCCCCACCACATGGGGTCACTGTGAGCTGGAATCCACTGGTCAGCACACTATAATAACAACATCCATGTACATGTGTATGTGTCTACATCAGTGGTCTCCAGAAAAGGTTTCACAATCTGGGAGTGCAGTATTGTGATTCTATTTGTGTTTCTTCTTAATTTCATGTCTTTGGTATTTCATTTCTACTGGTTTTACAGTGTACATGAATGTTATTATAGGTGGTGTCAGGTGGCATATAGTGACCCTTTGAACAACAGATCTGAACCCTGCCCTGTCCTCTGCCGTCCTCACAATTTCTGACATTTGAGCCCATTGCATTGTCATTATATAAACTAACATATATTAAAATGTATATCCACAGTGTTTTGTAGATAGGAGTGAATTTCAAGACTCTTGATCTCACTCATTCCTAAGTGGTTCATTTCCACAGTCTCATCACGCTGGAGAGGATGATGTTTCATTCACTCTATGAAATGAAGGGTTTACTGTGTGTTCATCCTTTTGTTGTAGTGTACCATCAAGTTGGAAGCAACCCATACGTTTTTCTAACAGGAAGAGTAAGGAAAACACTTTTTTATAGCTAATTCTAGATTCTGACAATTACTCTACTCTGTTCTAACTTTTCTCTTGTTTTTCAGAAAAATAATACTCTGAAAATATTTTGAAAAGTCCAAAACAACCTTGTAGGGCAGAGCAGAAAAAAAGGTTTTTAGAACTCATGTTTCATCTAGGAACAATGTTTCTTTTCCCTCTATCTTTTCCTGGAGCTCCATATGTAGAGTAGAGGTGAATTAGGAGTCATTGACTGCTGTTTTATGGCCCTACCACTATTTGGAAAAAAGAAAACTTGCTCACAAAGCAACAGGTTCAGTCTGGACTCTCCCATCTCCTCTTAAGTCTTTGCTGGAGAAACTGAAAATTGTCTTCTTCATGTAGGAGATATCACTGTCCTGAGATTACTGTAGGCCTTCAGTCATATTTATTTACCCTCTCCGGGAACCTCTGAATGGACCTGAGTACTACAAACCTAAGATATCCTTAACAGCTCTGTTTCCTTCTCTAAGACTATAAATTGTGAACCTGATACATCCATGAACTTACTACTGCTTATGATGTAAGAGTTATGACACTGGGAGATAATTTTCTTCTACACCCTCACTCCTCTGTGTCTGCATCTTATGACGCAGATTGCTGTATTTTAACTTCTCTAGAAATACATCTATCTTGTGGCCTACTTTTATTTTATAAGAAGTATTTAATAGAATGTACTTTAAATAGAATTTATTATCAAGAAGCAGATAGACTAATCCATTTTCAAAGAGTGACTAATCAGACAGTGATCATGTTTTAAGACTTTTCAGCAAGAAGAATGGCAGAGTAAGAAAACAGAAGCTCCTTAAATTTTTGGAAATAATTATAACATAATTGATGAATATGAATTTAAAAATTATTGGTATAATAATTATATATAATATATATCTATTTACTGTCTTCAAATATGTCTTTACTGCTACATTTTAGGTGTCTAAGCTTCTCAATTCTGGAGTGTATTTAATACATAAAGAACTAATAACACTACTGCAAGATGAATCACTAGAGGTAATTTTTTTTTTAATCTCTCATGTTAAATCTGAATAAATACATCAATGCCTTTTTATTGTTCCAACTCTTCTCTATGGAGTGTGTGTATTCTTTTAGGTAACTAGCTGTGAAATTTCTAATAAAAATGAGATTTTAAAATATATTTTTTTATTAATGGATATTTAAGAAATGCAGAAAAGTAGACAAAATAGCTTTAGTTCCGTCGCTATTACTACTTTGATATATTTTCTCTATTTTTACAGTGAAATGGTTTTATTTCTTCTGTACAGTTGTTTTCATGTCTGTTTTATTCTTTTAGTCTTGTTTCTGGAGCATTATATACTTATAAAGACTTTTTTTGTAAAAACCTTTACATTGTTCTACTTTGATGCTGCATTAGCATAATCTACTCACATAAGTTAGTTCTGGCTTGCCAAAGCTCAGCTCATCAACATTTCAAAATCACAGATGTCATTTGACTTATGCAATCTTTCAAGATAGGATGTAGTTTTTGCGGACTTTGGTTGTGTGGGAGTAATTATCTCTGATTTATACTGCATAAACACTACCAAGAGGCAAGTAGACTAATCTGTTTTCAAAGAGTGCTTAATCAAAGCATTGATCATGTTTCTAAGACTTACCAAGATGAATGAAAGTAAGAAAATAGACTCTTCCAAAATGTTGGTTTGTTTTTTTTTTGGTTTTTTGGTTTTTTTTTACTGTAGTTCAAGGAAGTGCCTGTGATTTACTGAAAGTTAAATATAGTGTTTTAAAAATTATGTATACTGCATTGAAACAGATGAGGGAGAGAACAATTTAAAAGCGATATATGATAGGGTATTATGATTATCACAAGAGTCCAGAATTAAGGTTCCATAGTGGAGTGTACTTGGGGTGGGGGGGGGATTATATACCAATGAAAGAATTTTTCTTTTACTTTTCAGGGAGAGGAGTGAACTGGGGGGGGAGGGCTGGGCAGGGAGAAAAGTGCAACAATGAGTGAATGGAAATCCAAAATCTCTGTAAATGTTCATTAAAATTAATAAAATTAAATTAAAAAATAAAGCTTTAGTGCATCACTCCCTCATACAGTTAAAGACAATTAGATTTAAGTACTTTAAAGATGACCGGCTGAAAATCTGCTGAAATAAATGACTGTTTCAGTTCTAATATAGTTGATGAATATGTAATTGACCTAAAGACGTAGATGAATTAGCTAAAGTCAAGATTAAGAAAATCATGGTTATTAAAATATGCTAAACTTTAATAACTATTTTAAAAGGTACTAGATGCCCTTATAGATCATCTTCCAGAAATTTTAGAACTTATGTCTACTGGTGGAGAAAGCAGCACCAAAGAAAATAAGGTAAATACCATCTATCATAAAACCTTAATAAGAAATATCCTACCCTGAGGGTTATGAGAAATGACTTACTCACTGCATAGCAATATTTAAAATTTGACTTGCTACATAGTAGGTCTCAGTAAATGCCTGTTGCAGTTGGAGTTTGAACAGCTTGAATTTTCTTTTCAAATCTAACATTAACATAATTCTTGATCATGTCCTTGGAGTTTATATATTTGTACTGTTCATTTTATATCTTGGAGAAAGTGCAGCCAGAGTGTTCTTTTGAGGCCAAGGTGATAAAGCTTTGCCTCACATACTTCAGGCATGTTGCTAGGAGGGGCTATTCCTTGGAGAGGGACATGATGCCCAGAAAGACAGAGGGGTCAGTGAAGGAGAGGAAGACATTTGATTAGGTGGATTGGCACAGTGGCTGCTGCAGCAGCTCTAATGTGTCAGAAAGTGTAAGGATGGCACAGGTGAGGACAGGGTTCAGATCTGTTCACAGAGTTTCTATGGGTTGTACTTGATACCTAACAACAACAAAAACAGCTGTTTATTAGCATTAATGATTATTACAGAGCAGCAGATAGGACAAAGATATAAGCATTTGGAAGGTGAAAGCTTAAAAACAATCATAACTAGTAGTTTTTACTTGGAGTAAAATTTTTACTTTAGTTTGAAAGGTTACTGTCATAATCAGTCTGACAGCAAGAGTGATGAGTCCCAGTATCTATTTCAAAATTTGATCTCTAGTAACTTTAAATTTACTTGTGCAACCTTGTGGTTTCTCACTTACCCATCCTCACCCCTCCTTGCCCACACCTTACCCCCTTGGGTTCCCATACATGTTTTACTAATTATCCTTCTATTTTTAAATTATAGTCTTATGCAATATTTGTCCTTTGAGACTGAGTTAGTTCACTCAGCATAATGCTCTCCAGTCTCTCACAAGTTACATAGTGTTTTTCTAAATTGTTCCTCCTGAGTGCAGCATAGTATTCCATTGTGTGAATGTACTACATACAGTTTCTCAGTCCTTTCAGTTGTGGTTGGATGTCTGGGCAGTTTCCATGTTCTTTGTGATGTTGAATAATGCTGCTATGAACTTTGATGTTCAGGTCTCCATTTGTGTTTCAGTTCTAGTTTGGTGGGTGGAGGGGAAGGGGGGCAAAGAAATGGGAAGGATCCAGGTAAAAAGAGAAGGTAATGATGGGCAAGGTCCAGTGATGATTAATTTTATAAAACAATGCATGGGAATGATTGTATGAAACACAATATGAATGAAGAATAGTGTGAAACATGGTGTATTCGAACTTTGTAAGCAAACCAATATAAAATAAAAGATACTAAAAAATAAATATTCAAGATATTTGCAAAAAAAATTTACTTGTGGATTTTTTAAAAAAGGGTCTCATTTCAAAAGATCATTGTCTTCCTGTGCAACTGAGATGTCACCAAAATTCTGAAACGAGCAAGAGGATCACTTGTCATGTGTTAGGAGACCAAGTCATTGGACTGAGGGCTGCATGGCTTTATTTATCATGAGTTCTTTTGACATTTGTTTGTGTGTTTTTCAGTTATCATCCCTGCCTGACTTGATTCCAGCACTCACAGCTGCTGAACAGCGAGCTGCAGCCTCTTTAAAATGGAGAACTCATGAGAAGTTATTACATAAATATGCCTGTCTGCCTCATATCATATCAAGTGATCAGATTTATTATCGTTTCTTACAGAGAATGTTTACAATCATGATGACAATTGTGAGTGAACACCTCTTCTGCTATCTTTTGTGCTCCTGGTTGATTGGTTGATGTTAATGTACAGTCCTGTGGGAGCTGACTCCTCGCTGACTCTCCAGCAGGTTTTTAGAAACTGTGAATTACACCAGAGATTGCACATCTGTCTCCTGCAGAGCAGCTGCTGAATTCAAACCACATGCCTTTACATGGCAACTCCTTACCACTGAACCACCAGAGCTAGATGATTGAGGTTATTTGGAAGTGAGCTTCTGCTCTGTGATGTGACAGAAGTTTAAAGAGACATTTTGAATTGTTACTGGGAGTGACTGAGATGGTCCCCATGAATTCTAAGCTTTAAGGACCAAAGAGGTGGACCAGGGGTTTCAATGAATGTTTTGAGATTGAAGAGTAGCTTATTGAGCCAAAAGAAGAGAAGAATTTATCTGATCGTGGGATCTGAGTTTACATTTTAGAATTGGCTCAGTTTTTTTGTGATTTATCATTTACTTGACAATGATTATCTCTAGCAAATGTTTCAGTATGAATGAGAAACTGACACTTCCGTGGAGAAGGATGAGTAGAATGAGCGATGAGGCCCATTTGAGAAGAATGTGCTCAAGAAAAGGTTGAGAATAAGAGAATAAAAAAAAATAAACCTGGATGACTTGGAAATGACTGGACCAAATTAAATGTACTTGTGTGTATTAGTTTGATTTGCTTGAGCGATACTAATGTTAAAAAAATGAAGATACCTCCAGAGAGATGCAGTGCAGTGATTTGAGAGGGTGTGGATACTGCTTTTAAATTTAGTCAATAACTAAAACTAGATTTATGGGATCAAATTATGCAGACTTTGTAAAAGACTAGTTTAAATATCTGTCTTCATTATTTCTTTAAGAATGTCTTGCCTGTCCAAAAGGCGGCGTCACGAACCCTGTGCATTTTTCTGCGTTTTAATCGGAAGCAAGAGCAGAGACATGAGGTCATTCAAAAATTAATCGAGCGTAAGTAACTGTTGTCTTTATTTTCTTTCCCTTCCCCCCAAAGAAAACCAATGTCTTAGTTGGTCTTAGATGTGCCATACATTGTGTATCATTTTGCCATGAGTTATTAGTTTAATAGTGTTAGAAAGCTGGTACAGGTATCTTTAAGACAGGATCAATCTGTGATGAGTTTTCTTAGTATTAATTGATAGAATAGTATTTACTCTAGGCCTTTGCTGTACAGTTCTGTTCATGAGAAATTAAAATAACTGTAGACTTATGTTGAAATCTCAGCTTCTAAGAAGATTTGGAACGAAAATAAAAATAGAATACCAGTGACTAATGATTTATATTATGTTCCTACTTTATATATTACATGAAAATATTTAAAGTAATGTCTAAATTATTAGACTCATAGGGAATCTATATGTCATAGTCAACTCAATGACACTTAAGAACAATTTAAATATTAACAAAATTAAAAGAATGTGACTTTGCCTTTTAATTTTTTCTTAAGTAAATATGTAAGTCACAAGCCTGTGAATCTATAATAGGCTAAGAGGTGCTTTGAAATATCTCAAGAAACAAAGTCAGTTAATAATAGGTGACATTTAACTTGTTGAGGATTAAAATCAGGGAAGATTCCTTTAGTTAAACTATTAATTCTAGAAATGGTGGTACATACCTGTATATATTTAGTGAATTTTTCAATTCTCTGTACTTATTCATATGCTTATTTGACTATAATGCTTAAAGTACTTATTACATTTTTCTATCCAATATATAAACATGAGTAAATATGAGACGCCTCAAGACATTTCCCTTAAGAAAAAATTAAATTTTGTTTTCTTTACTCTTCTTGTACACCTATAATCATTTTACATCTCGTTTTCATTGTTCATTGCAGGACCTCATATTATTTTGAAAGAGGATTCTGTGTTTTTAGATACTTAGAATTTTACCTCTGAGCATTTAAATAAAGAGGAAATTAACCTTTAAATGTTGATTGGAATGATTGTTAATAATCATGTATTTACATATGACTAATTGAGTAAAAATAGTTTTAAAGAAATTAGAGGGAAATACATAGTTAATTGAATTGTAAAAATAGACTCAGAATTCTAGCTATGTCATTAAATGGCTATGAGACTTCAATCTCTCAGAATTCAAGACCTTTCTCTGGGGGACATGTGCATATCCCATTGAGGTGTTTCTTTGGGATTAAATGAGCTAATATATGTTAAAGTACCTCATACATATTAGATGGTCAAACACAGTAGATGATAGTCATGAATAGTTAATAAAAGTTTATGGAGTTGAATATGATGTTTAATTAAAAAGTGTAATATCTAGCTAAAAGCACTTTGTTAGGCTTAAGGAATGATGGTAATTGTGGACTATGCAAATCTGGAATCTCTATAATAGAGTATTTTTCTGTTTATATTGAATTTTACTGAAATTTTGAGTAAGAAAAAATCTCATAGATTTTGTGTATCTGATTTTTGTCATGTCATTTCATGTAGAACTGATTAAATTCATAATTTTTATTGTTACTTTTAGAACTGGGCCAAGGAAAAAGTTACTGGAATAGACTTCGATTTTTGGACACCTGTGAATTTATTATAGAGATGTTTTCCAAGTCATTTTTCTGTAAATACTTTTTTCTACCTACTATTGAACTGACACATGATCCAGTTGCAAATGTGAGGTATGGTATCAACCCAAGAAAATATTTGAAAATATGTCTTTAGTGGATACTCAAAATCCATTTCTAGCTGATTTAGAAATCAAATGAATTTATATTTGCTTTGAAATTTTTACCAATTTTAGCTTATGTGTTTCAATAGGACTTGGAAACACTATCTTTCAACAGTGTTTAAATTAGTTTGTTTTATTGACCTCACCTGAGGCACCATGCCTCTCAAGATATCGTGGACATGCTCACTAATCTGTGCCAAGAAATTTGGAATATAGCTACCGGGTAAACCAATTGGAAGAGATCCGTATTTATTCCCATTCAAAAAAAAAAAAGATGACCCAACAAAGACCAGAAATTATCAAATAGTATCATAAATATCATAGCCAAGTAAAATCCTGCTCAAGAGTATTAAAAATGAAACAAGACATTGACAAGGAACTGCCAGAAATCCAAAATGGATTCGGAAGAGGCCATGGAACAAGGGAAACATGGCTGATGTCAGATAGATCTTGGCTGAAAGCAGAGACGTGTGCTTTAAAGCACAGTCGTTGTTGTTTATATGTGCCGTCAAGTCGCTTGTGACTCATAGCGACCCTATGTACAACAGCCCTAAACTCTGCTCTGTCCTGTGCCAATCACACTGTCTCCGATACACCCATCCCGATTACCCCAGTCACTGAATCAATCCACCAATAGGGGGCCTTCCCCTCCTGCACTGTCCCTCCACCCTCCCAAGCATGATGTCCCTCTCCAAGGACTGGTCCCTCCTTACAACATGTCCAAAGTATGTTAGACGGAGCCTCAGAATCCTTGCCTCCAAGGAGCTGCCCGGTTTGACCTTTCCAGGACAAATCTGTTTGTTTTCCTAGCAGTCCATGGTACCCTCAATACTCTTCTCCAGGACCACAGCTCAAAGGCATCAATTCTCCTTCTAGCCTCCCTAGTCATTGTCCAACTCTCTCATGCATAACAAGTGATTGCAAAGACCATGGCCTGTATCAGATGCACCTTAGTCTCCAGAGAGACACCATTGCTCTTCAGTACTTTGGAGAAGTCCTTAACAGCAGACTTTCCCATGGCAATACATCTTTTAATTTCCTGGCTACTGGTGCCAAGAGTGTTGACTGTGGAGCCAAGCAAACTGAAGCTATGAACAAACTCAGTCTCCACCATCCATCCTGATGCTGCCAGTTGGTCCAGTGGTGAGAATCTTTGTCTTCTTGACATTGAACCTCAATCCATATTGGAGGCTGAAGTCCTTGACCCTCTGTAGCAAGCGCTTCTGGTCCTCCTCATTCAAGCAGGATTGTGTCATCTGCATAATGCAGATTGTTGATGAATCTTCCATCAATCCTGACACCACGCTTCTCATAGAGTCCAGCCTCCTGGACAATTTGTTCTGCATACAGGTAGAAAAGGTATGGAGACAGGACACATCCCTGGCGTATGCCCTTCCCAATTTTGAACCATGCAGTATTTCCTTGCTCTGTTCTGATGACTGCCTCTTGGTCAAAGAATAGGTTTCGCATTAGCATGATCAAGTGTTGTGGGATTCCCATTCTTCTCAGAGTCAGCCACAGTTTGTTATGATCCACACAGTCAAACGCCTTTCCATAATCAATATATAGCAGAGTACTTGTGCTTAAGTTGAATAATGTGGAAAAGAATGGGAATTCCAGACACTTAATTGTGCCCTGTGAAACCTGTACATAGATGAAGTAGTTCTTCTATCAATGCTGTGTGGTTTGAAATCCACAGCGATATTCCTGAGGATTGCATCCTTTTCCATTGTTATTAAGTCTGTGTGCTGAACAAATGAGAAGTTGGGCTGTATGATGAAGAATGTGGTATCAGGACTGGAGAGAAATGATCAAAAGTCAAAATTACGGAGACAACACAATCTTGCTGAAAGTGAAGCTTAAAAACACTGAAGAAGATAAGAAACTATAGCTTTCCATGTGGGTTGCACACTCTATATTTCAAACAAATTAAAAATTTTACAGGAAGAGATTGCCCATTTTTCACCTGAGGAGCAGTTGGTGGATTTCAGCTTCCTGCCTTTCCTGTCCTCCTAGGCCACCAGAGTTTCTCACATTTTTATTTCGAAAATAAAAATTCTTACCAATAGACCAGTAGACAACATTGGATAGCTGGAGAAAGTTTAATGTTGTCAACCATTTAATTTTACTTGGATCAATAATCAGCATCCACTGTAGTAGCGGTCAAAAAAAATCAAAGGTTTGTTGCACTGGACAAATCTGCTGTCAAGGACTACCTTAAAGTACTAAAGACTAATGACGTGTTAGTTTAAAGATGGTGCACCTGGCCCAAACCCTAGTAATTTTAATGCTTCATATGCTTTATAAAGTTGAACAATAAGGAAAACACAAGAGAAATGATTTCTGCAACTTGTGATGCTGGTGAAAAGTATTACATTTACATACCATGGACTGTCAAGAGAATAAACAAATTTGTTTTGGAGGAAATGCAATTAGAGTGCTCTTTAGAGGCAAGGATGGTGAATTTTTCTCTCACATTACTGCTTGCATATTATCAAGAGGCATTAGTCTCTTTAAAGACATGCTGGGTAAAGAAGAGTGAGTGAGGGGGAGGAAGACCCTCATTGAGATGCGTTGACACAGTGACTGCAACAAAGAGTTTAATGAGAATAAAGATTATAAGGATGGAACAACACAGGGCAAGGGATCTCTCAGCTGTGTAAGCAGCCTCTGTGAGTCAGATTGACTAGACTGGACCTGACCAACCATACGCATGCTGTTTCGGAGCTATCTTCACATTGCATAAATGGTGGGGGTTAATTTGAAATGCTAGCTGTAAAGTTATAAAATCCTAGCTCTGTAAGTCTGTTCCTAAAAAGATCTCATATTAATAGTAAAGAAAGACAGCATCAAAGTCAGTTGACTGAAAGTTTCCCAAGCAAAGTCCTAGCGCGCCTTGCTAAGTTTTCACCTATGAGTTGCACTGAGTTTGATGCAATGTGAAATATATGCATCTGTTATACAAAACCAACGTGGTCAACATTATAATACTTTTTAACATGAAAAATTGGCGAAACTGTAAGGTAGCATAAATTATTTAGGAGGACCAACCTAAAGGTGAGTTTGATTTGCACATTTACAATTCAAGCATACAGAAAGTGCAACTGATTTGGCTTAATTTTCTTGGTTTTATTTCATAAAAATTGGAGATGCATCTTCTCTCAACCATATATATAAATGAGACCATGGTGGGGTTGCCTTGACTTCAGCCAAAACGCCAGTGGCCTAGTGGACAAGGAGTGGCAATATTAGCCCAATGGCAGTTGATTCAAATCCACAGGCTGATTCATGTTAGAAAGATGGCTGTATGACTTCAGCCTCTGAAAACCCACTAGAGATTCAGCTTGGAATTGATTTATCAAGTCAAAGTTGAGAAAGTCAGAAATTTTTTAGGGAAGAAATATGTTTTCCACTAACACTGTGACAGAAATGTGGTCAGAATGCACCCTGTGAGGCCTGGAAAAACAAGGCAATCCCGTTGAATTCCAGCTTTTCCAAATTTCCCTTTAATTTTTTTAGGGTTTAATTCTTATTATTTGAGAAATAGATCTGGTTATGTGGTTAACTTAACAACTTGAAGTAATTTTAGGAAAATAACTTAAGAGTTACTGAGTCATCAATTATCAGAAAGTTAAATATTGTTTGAAAGGAAATTCAATTATGCCTACTCTGCTACTCTTAAGTCCTATTATAGCTTTGACTCTGTTGGAAAGCAGTCTGCGTCAGAATCTTATTGAGGACTCAGCAAGCCACACTCCATGAATCTGTGATCTCTTGTAAAAGATCCTTGCCCATTCCCACTCTGCAACCAGAGCAAGTGCCAGTAAAAGACATGGGTCTGGCAGCACCATTTACTCATTAGGTCCTCAGATACAAAAGCCCAGCTCTGTAGAGATACGTAGAAGGAAACGCATCACAGTTGAGGACAGAGGATCATGGACTGGTGAGGAGGAGAGCATCTGCAGCCACTCTGCCTGGGCCAAGATTCCAGCTCTACACCACCTGTGTGTCTTTGAGAAAGTTACAAAATCTCTATGTGCTTCGGTTTTTTGAGAGGCTAAGAAGCCAATTCATAGGCTGTACTGAGAATTAAGTCCCTGAGATCATATACGTGAAGAATTTAGCTTCCCCGTAGGAATCTTATGGAAATAAATCACTGTTATGGCTTGTGTAATGCTTGCTGGCTATTTCCCAGACCTGCCCAGGGTTGTAAAGAATAGAGGTGCCTATATAGATTTGTTCAGTGTTTTTCATTATGTAAATTCTTTTCTCAAAAATTTATTTTAATGAAAGTTTACAGAGACTTTGGATTTCCATTCATTCATAGTTGCACACTTTCCTCCCTGACCACCCCTTCCCCTTAGTTCACTTTTCTCTTTGAAAAGTACAAAAAAAAATTATTTCATTGTTATACAATTACCTGTAGCTGTCCTCTATGCAGCTTTCATTCTGGACAATTTTCATGACAATAATACCTAATCATATATTCCTCCTAAACAGTTCTCTCCCTCATCTGTTTCAAAGCAGTCTACATTATTTATCCCCTCTTAGTTTCCCCAAACGCCAAAGTCAGTCCCGTTTTACAACAGTGGCACCTTGCAGTATTTGTCCTTTTGTGACTGAGATATTTCACTCAGCATGTCTTCCAGGGTCACCCATTTTGTATAATATTTCATGAGTTCCTTGTTTCTTCAGTGCAGCGTAGTATTCCATTGTATGATTATACCAGAGCTTCTCTGTCCATTTGTTTGTTGATGGGCATTTCCAACTCTTTGCGATTGTGAACAAAGCTGCAGTAAACATGAGCGTGCATATATCTGCTTGGGTGGCAGTTATGGTTTCTTTAGGGTATATTCCCAGTAGTGAAATTGCTAGGTCAAATGGTATTTGCAACTTTTTGAGAAAGTACCATACTGCCTTCCATAGTGGTCGCACCATTTTACACTCCCACCAACAGTGAATAAGGGTTCCAGTTTCTCTGCAGCCTCACCAGCATTTGCTGTTTGCTGTTCTGTTAATTTTGTTATTCTTGACAGGGTGAGATGATAACTCATAGTTGTTTTGATTTGTACTTCTCTTAGAGCTAGAGATTTTGAACATTTCTTCATGTGTGTGTTTTCTATCTGAATGTCTTATTTGGTGAAGTGTCTGTTCATATCCTGTGCCCATTTTTCAATTGGGTTGTTTTCCTTTATCTTGTGGTGACTGACTATTTTATAAATTCTAGATTTAAGTCCCTTGTCTGACATGTCATTACCAAAGACTTTTTTCTCCCAGACTGTGGCTTCCCTTTTCACCCTGTTGGAGAAGTTTTTGGATGTGCATAGGGATTTTATTCTTGGACGATCCCATTCATATTTTTATCCTCTCCTGGTTGTTGCTTTTCAGGATGCTTGGAAGACTGGCTCTGTTGTGGATTAGGGCTTCTAGAGTTCCTCCAAGCTTTTCTCTAATGAAGTGTATAGTCCTTGGTTTTAGTCCTAGGTCCTTGTTCCACTTTGAGTTGGTTTTTGGGTACTGAGTGAGGTGTGGATCTTGCTTGGGTTTTCTACAGATAGTTTTCCAATTTTACCAACACCATTTGTTAAAAAGGCTGTCGTTTTCCAACTTAACTGATTTCATCTCCTTGTCAAAAATCAGTTGATTATAAGTAGATGCGCTAATTTCTGGGTTCTCAATTCTATTCCATTGATCTGTGTGTCTGTCATTATATCAGTACCACACTGTCTTGACCACCACAGCAAGATAGTAGGAATTGAAATCAGGGAGTGAGACACCTCCTACCTTGTTGCTCTTTTTCAGGGCCTCTTTCCATTCCAAATGAAATTGGAAATTGCCTTTTCCATCTCGTTGAAGAATGGAATTGGTTTGTGTATTAGGACTGCATTGAATGTGTAAATTGCCTTTGGTAATCTTGTCATTTTCACAATATTGAGTTTTCCTATCCATAAGCAAGATACAGAAACTCTTAAGATTCATCTACATAGGATCAAGGCTGGAGAGAGATTACCAATACTTAAAAGATTCTTTCCAGCTTCCAGAAATTGAAGGGAAAAATAATCTCTTTGGGATAATTAGAATTCCTTCATTTGAAAAAGCATCACTAGGCTTAGCAGTATCTGTGGTGAGCTCTGAATGAGATGAAGACCATATTACTTCTGATAGAGCTGAGAATTGTAGAAAAGGAGCGGCTTTCTCCCTTTTGGTTACATGAAAAGCAAATACTAATAAACACAACGAATTTTCAGCTGAAGCCTCAACTTAGAGACATCCTGAAAGCTCCGGGCTGGGACTGAGCTTCTCAAGGTTTGGCATTGAGAGAATCACTAACGGCAGTGCGGAGAGCATTCAGATGAAAGAACAAGCCCAGCAAGCAGAGCAGGTCAGGCACCTCACGTCTCTCTCCACACCGGCCTTGGCAGAGAAGTGGAGTTTTAACTGAGAGCAGAATATAACCTTTCTGCTAAACACTCCCTCCTCCTAGAAAGGCGGGCTGGGATGTCTTCCTAACCTCCAGAGCCGCCTTCATTCTCCTGTTTCTTCCTTTTCACCGTAATGTTGATCAGAATGTGGTTTGTAACTTAGGTCTGTCCTTCTGTGTCTTTCCTAACCACGCTTATGTTACTGGTGATCTCCAATCTCATGGCTCAAATACCATCTGTAGACTGCTGAGTACATATCTCCAGCATGCATGTCCTCCCCAGACAATGGATTCTTTGATCCAGTTGTTCACTTGACATTGCCCCTGAGTATTTGGTACTTAAAAGAACTTCAATGCCGTCCAGTCGATTCTGACTTCGATCCTCTTCTCTTGGATTTCTGATACTGTACGGAGGATACTGCCCGTCTGTCTTTGGTAGAGCCACTGGTTACTTTGAACTTCCTGAGACACGTGCCAAGCATCTCCAGTGTAATATATCCAAAGTTAAACCTAGATACTTATTTATGATAATACCATCTGCTCTTTTCCATCTCAGTAAATGATCATTTCATCACTCCACTTATTTAGGCCAAAGACCTCCTGTATATATATATTTTATATTGGGGTGGGTAGAAAAGAAATCAGCCCCTATACTGGGCCCTATTCAGTTGCAGCTTCTTGTTCCATAGGGTTAAGGAAGACTTTGAGGAAATAAAAGTTGTTTGGAAAAATCCAGGTGTAGTTGCTTTGTATGTTCTGATGGGCAGAAGGGATGAAGTGAAGTGTGAAGGCCCCTCATACCCTCCATCTTGCCTCAGACTGTGTCCTGGAACCCTGGGGTGGGGGAAAAGCGCCACTCTCATTCTTGCTTGTTGAGATTGTTGACGGCCAGGCCACGTAGTGGTAAAGAACAACAGGCAGGAAGAGCGACACGCCCAGCATGTTGGTGAAGACGGCGAGCTGCACATCCGTGATCATCCTGACCCCCCAAGGTCGCCTCCAATGCTTGCTGCAAGCAACTCCAAAGGCCTTCTCTTAACACCTTCTCCCTGTGCCTATCTACTCTTAGCAAAAATCCTTTTGTTAAAAAATGTATTCAGAATTCAACCATTTTGCATTACCTTCACTGCTACAGTGCTCATTAAAGCCACCAACATGGCTTCTTAAATTCTTATAAGAACCTGCTCTGCTTCCTTTCACCTGTCCTTGACTGTCCACTCTCTGATTGAACACAGTAGCCAAATATTGTTGTGGAAATAACTGGTAGTTTTAGGCGATTTCCTTCTGCTTCTCATGGCACTGAGACAAAAAACCGGAGTCCTAACAGTGTCCTCAAGGCCCTGCGTTAGCCACCCACCTCTTGCTTCTTCAGTCTGTTCTGACCAACTTAGCAACCTGAGGCAATACCTGAGGTAAGCCTTCCCCAAAAGGACTTGGCACTATTGCTGCCTTTGCCTCTCATGTTCTTCTGTGAGGTTCACATAGACTGGCCCCAAATTTTCTTCAGTTTTTTGTCGTCTTCCTCAGTGAAGATCTTTCTGACCACCTGATGTAAAATCATCTCCTTTGTTGCCTATCTCTGTTTTATTTATCTCCATAGTACTTACTGCAACCTGACAGAGTGAACCTTTACTTGTTTATTTTCTCTCTCCTGCCCCCAAATTAAAATGAAAGTTCAATGAAAATGGAGAATTTTGCTACTTTAGTTCACCCAAAATAAAATGACACACAGCATCCGTACTCCATGTACATAGAAAGATGGGTAATTTCCTCTTGTGTGATTTATTGCCTTTGAATACTTGCTGGAGGGTCAGCTATGAGTCATTTTCAACTTGACGTAATATATAATAACAGCAGTGTATGCATGTTCATGGATAAATGAACTCTTAGGCTAGCTGTCTTCTTGAAAGTACAGAACACTTAACATGTACATTTTTTTTCATGAAAAATAAAACAGTCAAACGAACGCTGAAGTTTCTTTCATTATTTTTTTTTTTTTTTGCTAACACAACAGCGTGCAAAGCTGTTGGGTATATAATTTTTTAAAAATTTTATTAGTTTTAATGAACATTTACAGGGATTTTGGGTTTTCATTCCTTCATTGTTGCACTGTTTTCTCTACCCTCCTCCCCTGTTTGTTGTTCTTCCCCACCCCCTCCCCCGAATGTCTGTTTTAATTGTCCAATTGCCACAGTGCTTGTCAAAGCCAGTTCTGATTAATCTCCTTTATCAGTGTGTCCTTTGTCATTCCCTATCACTCCTCCCTGAGAGAGACTTCACCCTGATTCATAAGGAAAAGGGGATGGCGTATTCTCTTAGCTACTTCCTGCTGAAAAGGGACGCTGTGGGTTTCAGGGTGAAGATCTTCTCTCACTACTCTAAAGAGCCCCTTTGACAGTAGGAAACACATAGACTATTATGGAGATTGATTTTGGAATTTAGATGCACTGTTATTAATTGTGCTTAGAAGTACATGTTCATATCCTTGAAGATGTATCATGGAGGTATTGCAACCTAGAAGACACAAATTTAACAAGTTAAAAGTACATGAGTCAAAAATTAACAAGTAATAATATTCCGAGTAGAGGTTCTAGTAGTGGCACAAATCAAGTTACAGAGGGAAGGTTGTTCTTACAATAAAAAGCCTATAGACTACCACTTTGTCTATTATAGTGTACATGTTAGGAACCACAAGATGTAGAGGCTCATAGTGTACATGTTAGGAACCACAAAATGTAGAGGCTCAGCTATGTCATTTATGCTTCTTAAGTCCTGGAGAAAATTCCATCTACCACTGGGCTGTTTTACAACTCGGAAGTTCACATGCAAGGTAGAGATGAAGTAAGGAACTGCTTATGAGGTTTTCCGTCCATTCCAACAACTAAGAGATAGAAGAGTTGGGACCTCAGAAGGCTTTTTGGACCAATTAGTAGGCTCTGTGTCCAGGAGAAAATGAATATACTTACCAGTAATGTTAATGCTCATCCACGGCTCTTCTGGGAGGACATTTTCATGTTCTTATTGTTCAAAACATGCACTAAAGTAAAAACCTATTTTCTTTATTATAGAATGAAACTTTGCTACTTGTTGCCCAAAGTGAAATCGACTCTGAAGATTCCAGCAGATAAACATCTACTACAGCAGTTAGAAATGTGTGTGAGAAAACTCCTGTGTCAAGAGAAAGATAAAGATGTTCTAGCCATTGTAAAAAAAGTAAGAGTCACTGTTGCACAAGCATTTCTATTTCTTGCATTAAATTAATGTTAAGTATAGCTTCAGTATTGTATTTGATAGGATAGTAACTTGTTGTTGTTAGCTGGAACTGACTCATAGCCAGCCCTTCAGCGGGTTTTCAGAGGCTGTAAACTGCATGGGAAGGGATTGCTCATCTTTCTCCCTGGTGAGCAATTGGTGAATTCAAACTGCCTACCTTTGGGTTTGTGGACTAAGGTACATCTGTTTCAGGCCATGATCTTTCGAATTATTGATGTCCATCTAAAAGCTGGAGAATGAATAATGATGACAGGAGAGAAATTGATGCCTTTGAGCTGCGGTGTTGAAGAAGAGTACTGAACATCCTATTGACTGCCAAAAGAACAAACAGATATGTCTTAGAGAAAGTACAGCCAGAGTGCTCCTTGGAGGCAAAGATGATAAAGCTCCATTTCACATGGCTGTTCCTTGGAGAGGGATATTATTCTTGGGAAGTTGGAGGGTTGGTGAAACAGAGGAAGATCCTCAATGCAGTGACTGCCACAATGGGCACAAGTGTGTTAGAAATGTGAGGATGGCACAGGGTAGGACGGGGTTTAGCTCTCTTTGTTCATAGAGCCATCATGGGTCATACTCAACTCAATAGCACCTAACAAATAACAGCCTTTGGGTTGGCAGCACAGTGCTTACTACTGTTGTTATTAGGTGTCATGGAGTTGACTTTGACTCATGTCAACCCTTTGAGCAGTACACCTGAACCTTGCCCTATCCTGTACCATCCTCACTCCCTCCATCATGCTCAAGCCCATTGTGGTGGTCACCGTGTTATTCTGTTTGATTGAGGATGTTTTTCCCCTTTGCTCACCTTCTGCTTTTCCCAGCATGGTGTCTCCAAGGACTGGTTCCTTCTGAAAATATACCCAAAATATGTGAGGTGAAGTTTCACCATCCTTGTGCCTCTAAGGAGCACTCTGTCATACGTTCTTCAAGACAGATTTGCTTGTTCTTTTGGCAGCCCATGGGATATTTAGGGACCTCTGCTGGCCTGGTGGTAAGAAGCTAGTTTGCAATCCCAAAGGCTCACGTTTTGAAGCCACCAACTGCTTCATGGGCAAAAGATGAACAGTCTCCTCCCAAGTGATTAACTGCCTCTGAAAACCTGCTGGAAGGTCTGCTATCAGTTGGTTCCAACTCAATGGCACATATCAACAACATAGCATATTTAATACTGTTCTCCAGCACCACAATTCAAAAGCATCAATTCTTCAGTCTTACGTATTCGGTAAATACTGTTCAATAAATATTGGTCATTTAGTAGGGAACACTTCATTAACCAGATCTTATTTTTAAATGACCATATTTGTCAATAACAACAACAACAACATATTTGTCAGTTCATCAGTACTGTGGTGAGGTCACTATTAAACTTAGCCTACTCCGTGGCACCTAACACCAGTAGCCCTGGGAAGGGCTTCAGAGTTAATCCACGGGTCTGTTCAACCCAGTAGTTTGTCAGCCTGGATATAATCTGTTACCCTGAGCATGTTTCTTTGTTCAGCAGTGTGACAGTGTGTCTATGATTTTGCTTGTTGGGGTTGTTTGTTTTTTTGTTTCAGCACATGAGCTTACAGGTGTGTCAGAGACAGTGCGATTGGCAAAGGATCGAGCAGGGTTTAGGGCTGTTGTACATAGGGTCGCTATGAGTCTCAAGCAACTCGATGGCACATAACAACAACAGAAAACTTAAACAGTAAAAATTTAGTTCAGAGGTGCACAGTTCAAATCCATCAGATGCTGTGCTTGAGAAGGAGGAACGATGTCCTCCTGTACCAGTCAGATCTGATTTGATGGTACACACACAAAAAAATAGTGAAATAAAAAAAAATTTAAAAAAAAAACAGTAAAAATTTTAATCATTGAGGTCAAATCTTTAAATGGTTTTATTTACCATCTTTAAATAATGTTTATATAAGATAAAACAAAAATGATTGCTTTTCTGAATTGGAATGTCAATTTGACAGTTGACACAGTTGCCATATTTCACTCAGAGGCACACAGTGTGGTTTTTGCAGCCCACGAACCTCTGCAGCTTGATTCCCTCTGTGCACTGTGCGCATATGTGGCACTAGCACATTACTTGAGAAAAATGGACTTGTAGCACAAAAATTTAAGGTCTTTAACAACTTAATAAGGATGGCATTTAATGTAATTGAAGAATTATTTGATTTTTTCCTAGTGATCGTTGATAGACGTGTCACATGAGAATCATGAGAAGCTTTTTAATAAAATCATTTTTAACTTAGTCTTAATTAATATAGTTTTATTTTACTTAAATATTATTATTGTTACTGAAATAACCAGTAATACTTGGCCTGGATATGCATTTAAATCTAAACACACACACACACACACACACACACACGACAGAGAGGTCTTCACCAGTAATTTTTTTCCTTCACCAATTGATTACAAGAACCTTACACAAGGGAATTAAATTGTCAAAATCATACAGATGGGGGAGGGGGTAGTTGTTTTCCTGAAATGATTTGTCAATTCAAGAACTAATATAAGCCAAACCTACAGATAGGTAGAATGGTGATCTGATTAAATGGCTGGATTAATAATTATTTTGTAATGTATATTTTTGGAGTACAACTCTTTATTTTAATTCCATGTCACATGAGGAAATCAAGTTGTCCCTTGAAAAGGCTACATGTAGTATAATTGTCTAGCTGAAGTATTTCTGTGGGAATCTCTGCGATAGCTGCCCAACGTATTGGGGTGAAAATGAAATAGCTAAAAAAAATGAAATAGCTTACTTCAACCGATATTTTTAGATTGAAAGTAACTTTGTTTGAAGAAAGAAAGGGATATTTTATGGCATAATTTTTAAAATTAATTTCAGCATAAAAATAAAGCTTCAAAAGATATTAGTAATAGATACTTGGGCTTATGATTGTGATTTATGTTGTTCGGGCTGTTAAAAGTATGCCTAGACAATATTTAGGAGAAGAATATCTTCATAAACTTTGAGTTACATGTTTGATCACAATAACTTTGTTTCAGAGTATTGTATTCTGAACACAAAAAAGAAATTGAAAGAATATTTTCAGTGCAAACTCCTTATTTTGATAGGTTAACCAAAAAATTCTTTATAAGAAACTAAGGATTTTAAGCCGAATTACAGAATATTGCTTACTTCATATGTTGCTGTTATTGTTATGCTCTGTAAAGTCAGAATCAACTCATAGCTGACCCTCCAGTGGGTTTTCAGAGGTTGTAAATTTCAAGAGAGGAGACTGTCCATCTTTCTCCTGTGGAGGAGCTGTTGTGTTGACAAAGGCCACCAGACCTTAACCCAGTGGTCACCAGAGCTCCTGTACTTCATCTAGATTTTGCCAAAAAGACTTATAAATTTTTGAAAATTGTCTTGAATTCCTGAAGATTCCGAGAAAGATGAACACTGGAACTTAATGGAGATTGTTTTAGCTACATGATGGCCTAGTAGTAAGAATCTGCCCTGTAATCCCAATGACATGTGATTCAAATGCACCAGCTACTTCATGGGAAAAGGATGGGGAGTTCACCTCCCATGCAGTTAACTGCTGTTGAAAGCCTGTTGGGGGGGTCAACCATGAGTTGGTTTTGACTTGATAGCACACAAGAACAACAGTATTTAAAATATGCAACTATACTTACAAGTCTTAAGGGTAAAAGAACTTTTGAAAATGTGAGTGAACCTTAGGACTTAGATAACTATGTAGAGTTTGATTATAAATAGAATGGATAATATAAAGAAACTTTAGAGGTTTGTAATTTAACCACCTGCTGCCTAGTATAAAATTCTCTATGAAACCCCCCTATAAAAAAATCTTTTTGAGTGATTGCTTGTTTAAAGTTGACTACTGCTTGATAACTTCAAACACTTTCTTTATAGACTGTGTTAGAGTTGGACAGAATGGAAATGTCTATGGATGCTGTAAGTACACTTTCTTTATCTTACATCAAAACAGTTACTAAAAAATTGGCTGAAGGTGATCACTTACATTTCACAATTTGTTTTAAACTTTAAATAGTTCCAGAAAAAGTTCTATGAAAAGGATTTGTTGGATCAAGAGAAAGAAAGAGAAGAACTACTCCTTTTGGAAATGGTATGCTGTGTTCTCCCATAGACACCCTCCCCAGCACATACACGGACAGACGTTGTATTTGTGAACAGTAATAATGGCATTTGTCACTAAATGCCATTCCTTTCATTTTCATATTAATTTCACGTTCATTCCTAAATGACAAAAGACAAGATTTAGTCTTCTGAAATCTGTTCTGCCTACTATCTACAGGGAGAGCTACATTTGGTTTTGTTCTTGTTACGTACTGTTGAGTTGAAACACTGCCCAGCTCTGCATGGTCCTCGGTACCACTGCCACTGCTGGATGTGAGTCCGTTATTGCAGTCCTTGTCCCAGTCAATCATTGGCGACCTTCCTTTTGTTGTTCAGTGGAACCTCTACTTTTCCACCCATGATGTGTTTCTTCAGAAACAATATGCTTGCCGTAATTGAGACAGTCTTCCTATTATATTCTCTAAGGAATATTCTGCCTGTACTTCTTCCAAGATAGATGTGTTTGTTCTTCAGACAGCCCATGTTTTAGGAAACATTCTTCATCAACACCATAATTTAGAGGTGTCCATTCCTCTTCACTTTTCCCTATTTGTTGTCCAGCATTCACTTATATATGAGGTCATTGGATATACCATGATTTGAATCAGGTGTACTTTAAGCACTTCTAGTGACCTCTTTGTTCTTTGGTATTTTAAAGAATTTTTTTCCCTTCAGCAGAAATGTCCAGTTTTATACACAGGTGCTTTGATTTCTTAGCTGCTGCTTCTATAAGCATTGGTTGGTGATCCAAATAAGGCAAAATCCTTGACAACTTCAATGTTTTCTTTATTTATGATGATGATGTTTATTAGCCCACTTGTGAGGATCTTTCTTTTCTTTTTGTTATTAACATCACATGCAGGAAAAATATTACTAAAAATAATTACCAAATGGCTAGAACAATATATTTACAGAGAACTTCCAGAAGTTCAAGCTGGGCTTGGAAGAGGGCATGGCACCATGGATGTCAGATGGATCCTGGCTGAAAGCAGAAAATACCAGAAGAATGTCAATTTGTGTTTTATTGACTATGCAAAATCATTTGACAGTGTGAACCACACATAACACTTAATTATGCTCATATGAAACTTATACCTAAACCAAAAGGCTGTTGTCCAAACAGAATAAAGAAACACCACATGGTTTAAAATCCTGAAATGTATAGTTGTGTAATTTCTCCATACCTATTCAATCTATATGCTGAGTATATAATTAAAGAAGCTTGACTCTGTGAAGAAGAATTTAGCATCAGAATCAGAGGAAGATTCATCACTAACCTGTGTTATGAAGATAACACAACTTTACTTGCTGAAAGTGTGAAGACATGAGGCACTTGCTGCAAAAGATCAAGGATGCAATATAAATTGCATCTCATCATCAAGAAAACAAAAATCCTTACCACTAGACCAATGGTGATATGTGGAGAAAAGATTGGTTCTAGCTGTCAGGAGATGAGGAGATTCATTGCATTTGGCAAGTTAGCTACTCGGTAACTCTCCAAATTACTGAGGAGCAATGATATGAGTTTGAAGACTAAGGTATACCTGATTCAAACCTCGGTCTTTCAGTCACTTGCTATGCATGTGAGAGCTAGACAGTAAATAAGGATAACATAAGGAGAGTTGATGCCTTTCATTTGTGATGTTGGAGAAGAACATTGACTGTGCCACGGACTGCCAAAACAATAAACAGATAAATGTTGGAATAAGTGCAACCAGAGTGTTCCTTTGAGGCAAGGATGGCAAAACTTCATCTTACGTGTTTTGAGCATGTTGCTAGGAGATGCCCTTCCTTAAAATGGAACATCTTGCTTGGAAAGGTGGAGGGTCAGTGAAAGGGAGTAAGACCTTCAATGAAATGAAGTATGTCAAAGATGATGAGTATGGCACTCGCTAGGACAGGGCTCAGATCTTTTTGTCATAAGTTGCTGTGAGTCTTACTCAACTCAGATACCTAACAGCAACAACAACATAGCTTTGGATCTTTACTGGAAAATGCTTCAGGTCATCTTCACTTTTAGCAAGCAAAATGATGTTATGTATTAATTGCAGGTTCCTAATGAATATCCCTTCAATCCTGATGCCATATTCTTCATCTAGTCCAGCTTCTTGAATTATTTTTTGCCTGTCATACAAGTTGAATAACTGTTATAAAGAGATAAAACACTGAGATACATTTTTCTTGATTTTGGTCTACACAGTATGCACATCATCTGTTTGAACAACTTCCTCTTGGTAAATGTACAAATTGCACACGAGCACACTTAAATATTCTGAAGTTCCTATTCCTCACAATCTTTAATTTGTTGTCATCCACAAAATCAAATACCTTTGCAAAGTCCATAAAATACAAAGAAGCACCTTTCTGGTATTCCCTACTTTAATCCAAGATCCATCTTACATCCACAATAATATCCCACATTACAAACCTTTTCTGAATTTGGCTTGAATTTCTTCCTGTTGCCTGTCAATATACAGCTCCATTCATTTTTAAATTAATCTTGGGCTGGGGTATGTAAGAGAAGAAAAACCAATGACATTTTAATATCTTTCTATAGTGGTAAGATGGCACTGCCAACTCAAAGGTACTTGCTTTGAATTCACCAATTGCTCTTTAGGAGAAAGATGGGTAATCTTGTGCAATTTACAACTTTTGAAGACTGTTGGGAAGGGCAGCTATGAGTTGGTTCCAACTTGATGGCACACTACACACACAGAGTTTATCTCTAGAGGAATCTTTGGTGGCACAGTTAGTGCATAGATTGTTGTACTGCTAAGCCGGAGTCATGTGCCTGTTAGTTCGAATCCACAGGGGCCCCTGGGGTAAAGGTGAATAATTTTCTCCCATACGATGTAACGCTCAGCCTCTGAAAACCCGCAGGAGCGTCCGCTGTGAGTTGGTTTTGATTCTACCACAATGAGTGAGTGATTTATCCATGTTGTTGTTGTTGTGTATTGTCAACAGGAACTGCACGTCTTTGAGTTGGCAGCACAACCTCTTACCACTAAGCCACCAGAGCTCCCTAGTTATTACCTGTGTGGCTAAATCATTGATTGACAATGGTTTATCCATAGAGAGGAATTTAGGGTAATGACTCACAGCCTTGTAAAGGGAAGTCTTAAGTCTCTAGGTTCAAACCCCACAAGAGAGACATCTGGGGCAGAAAGGTGCATGTCATCAGCAGAGAGCCAGCTCTCTATTTGCTGACTTTGGACTCTACCAGCCTCGGTGGCTGACATGCCTGAGGTGGGTGGTTGTGGCTGGCTGGCTTTGCTTATAGTGTGGGTTCTGCTTGTCGAAACATTTATTAGTATTCTAACAATTCCTGGAATCTTGTTTTTTGCCAGTGCCTTCAGTGCAACTTGAGCTTCTTCATTTAGTACTATGAGTTCTTGATCAGCGATTACCTCTTGAAGTGGCTTGAATGTCAGCTACTTCTTTTTGGTGTAATGACTATATTCCTTCCGTTGTCTTGTGATATCCCCTGTGTCCATCAGTATTTTGCTAACAGAATCCTTCACTATTGCAGTTTGAAGCTTGTATTTTTTTGTTTCAGTTATTTCAAGTTAAGATACCCATTTTCATTATCTATTTCTAGATCTTTACATATTTCATTATACTACTTGATTGGTGGTTTCTGGAGCTGCCCTTTGAAATAATATCTTATATTCTTTTATTATTCATAATACTCTTGTTTTCTAGCTACTCTTTGTTCACAAGCAAGGGAGCTCTGGTGACCTAGTAGTAAAAATCTGCACTGCAATCCCAAAGGCATGCAGTTCAAATCCAGCAGACGTACCACAGGAGAGGGATGGCCAATCTCCTCCTCTGTAATTTACTGCCATTGAAAACCCACTGGAGGGTCAGCTATGGGTCAGTTCCTGCTGAACAGCAACTTTGGACATAATCTTTTTTTCATTCCTGTTTTCTTTGTTGTTGCTTTTGGGTTGTTTTTTTTTTAAATGGCTTTTGCTTTCTTAATGTATAATGTCCATGATATAATTTCTCAACTCATTTGGTCTTCAGTCACTGGTGTTCACTGCCTCAGATCTATCCTTGATATGATCTCTAAGTTCAAGTGGTATATACTTAATGTTGTAGTTTGATTCTCATGGATTTTTTTTATTCAAGTTCTTCTTGAACTTGCATAAGAATAGTTACTTGTCTGTTGTTCAAATGTGGCCTTTCTCTGGTGGAAGATGATTTGCTTCTCTATAGCCTCTTGCCACAGATATGTTCCATTTGATTTCTATATATTCCACCTGGCAGGAGGTTTACTTGTGCCAGTTATGCTGAAAAGAGATGTGGGATAAATGAGCCATTTGGTCTTGCAAAATTCTGTTGTAGGATCTCATGCATCACTGCTGTCCAAGGCTTTACTTTTTCAACTGTCCTGGCATCCAGCATTGTTTTAACCCTCAGGGCACACAGACATCTAGAAGGCTCTTGATTTCTTTAGTTACTAATTTGAAAACACACACATACAAACAAAAGTTCTTCTGAGCATTTTTGTGAACTGCATTTGTACCTGTAAAGTCATTTCTTATAAGAAGAATTTCTTACATTAATTCAAGTCATTCCTCTAATGCTAAGAAAATGTTTTGATAACAGGAGCAGTTGGAGAAAGAGAAGCAACAGAATGATGGAAGGCCTGTGAATGATAAAGTCTTTGATAAGAAACGTAAGTAGTTTTCCTCTGTCTTCTCCAGTCAGTTACACAATCTATGTTGCATCTTGACTTTCCGGAAGACTGTATTGTTAGTAATTTGATATTGGCACTTGCTTCACTTTCTTTCATCTTGTTCAAATTTGTTTTACATAATTAAATGCTTTGTGTAATACAGATGTTAAGAACAAATACTGGGAATTATCATGACAGTTCAAGGCCTTCAGAAGGAAAGCTTAGTAAATTGGCTGGGTTTGGCTTGTTTTATTTTTTAAATCTGCTTTATTTACATTATTTTTATTTTCCCATTTGAGTGAAAACTTACAAATCATACTAGTTTTTCATTCACTCATCCATGCACTCTTTGTTTTATAACTTTGTAACAATGTTTTCTGAGAAGCAGTTGTCCTAATTGAACATGGGAACACTGTATAGTTTAAAAATTAAGAAAGTTGGGCGTCAGAGTTGTATCTTTTCTCCGTATCAGTCAATATGTATATGGAGCAGATTGTTCAAGAAACTGGACTCTATGAAGAAGGATGTGAGATTAGGATTGGAGGAAGACTCTTCAACAACAGATGATACAACCTTACTTGCTCAAAGTAAAGAAGACTTGAAATGCTTGCTGCAGAAGATCAACGACTATAGCCTTCAATATGGACTGAATCTTAAGACAGAAATGCTCACCAATGGACTTATAAGCAACATTGTGATAGTTGGAGAAAAGATTGAAGTTGTCAACAATTTCATCTTACTTGGATTCACAATCAACACTCTTGGTCCCAGCAGGCAGGAGGTCGGGAAACATGCTGCATTGGGTTAGTCTGCTGCCAGAGACACCTCTAGATTACTGAAGAGCAATGATGTTAGTTTTTGAAGACTTGAGTGTACCTGATTCAGGTCATGGTCTTTTCAATTACTTGCTATGTTTCTGGAAGCTGGACAGTGAATAAGGATGATAGAAAAAGAGTTGATGCCTGTGAGCTGTGATGTTGGAGAAGATTAATGAATATCCCATGGACTACCAATAGAACAAAAAGATATGTCTTGGCATAGGATACATCCAGAATGCTCCTTGCAGGCAAGGTTGACAAAGGTTCATCTCACATACTTTGGGCATGTTGCTAGGAGAGGCTATTCCTTGGAGAGGGACATCATGCTTGGAAAGGTGGAGGGTCACTGAAAGGTAGGAAGACCCCCAACGGGATGGACTGACATAGTTGTTAAGTTAGCAGACTTAAGAATGAAATTAGAGAGAATAAGAGAAAGCTTAATGCAACTTTATTAAAGTGGGGGGGAGGGGGGCGGGCAGAGCTCCCAGGTGAGTTCCTCATTCTGGAGATAAAGAATAGGGACATCACTGTGAACTTACTGGGGAGGATTTTTATAAACAGAGTCTTTAGGGAGGGACATTCCACTCTGATTTACGATCCACCTGCTAGCTCAGCCACGCAGGCTCTTCTTATCAGCAGCAGGAAAGGCCATCAGCATTTGAATTCTGAATGCTTCATTCTTCTCTTTGGGCCCCTTTGCCCAGACTTAACAACAGTAACTTAAGCAATGGGCTCAAATGTATCAGAGGTGATGAAGATGGAACAGGATAGGACAGGGTTCAGATCTGTTGCTGTGATTCATACTCAATTTGTCACCTCACAACAACAATTACATTTTCATTTAATCATTCATACACATTTTAATAACATTATTTACAAGACATTAAATTATGTATCACCTTTCCCTTCATCCGGCTTATCAATTTCTACTCCCTCCCATCCTTTCCCATCTCTGGTAACCATTTAGGATTCTATGTGTAAACCTTTCCTTTGATTCTATAATAGTGGCCTTACATGGTCCTTTTGTGACTGACTTATTTAAGATAATATTCTCTACACCCATCCATGTTCATGTGGTATTTCAAGAATCTTTGTTGTTTTTATTAAGTGTTACATATTACTCCATTGTGTGAATGAACCATTGTTTATCTGTACATCTGTTCATGACACTTGGGTTGTTTCAGTCTCTTTGCTTCAGTGAAATATGAGTGTTTTTTGTTTTGTTGATTGCCGTCTAGTTGAGCATGACTCCTAGCGACCCTATGAACAATAGACCTGAAGCCTTTTTATAAATATTATCACTTCTCAAAGTTCATAGTTTCAGGAGGAATGTTGTTTAGGAAGTGGATGCCACTCCTGCTTGAATACGAGTGTGCATGTATATATTTGTCCAGGATATAGACCTTATAGTGGGACTGCGGGATCATATGATACTTCTTTTCCCAGCTTTCTAAGGAAGCTCCCAGTTGTTTTCCATAGTAGTTGCACCATTTTCTATTCCCATAAGCGTTGTATGCATGTTTCAATCTCTCCACATCCTCACAAGCATTTACTATGTGCTCTTACTTGGCTTTACTGCTGTTGCTGGGTGGAGATGGTATCTTCTCATTTTGATTTGCATCTCTATATAATACCTAATGGTGCTATCACTTCCGGTTTGTTGGTCATTTGAAAGTCTTCAGTGAAATGTCTCTGCATATCTTCTTTCCATTTTATAATTGAGTTGTGTTTGTCTTTTTCTTGTTGAGTTGGAGTTTTCTGTAAAAGTAAAGCTTAATCCTTTGCCAGATAATGTCATTGCTAAATATTTTTTTTCCAAATCTATAGGTTCTCTTTTCATTCTTTTGGAGATAAACTTTGATGCACATAAGGATTTTAGTTTTTTTCAGTTGTCTTGTTTATCCTCTGCTTTTTGTGCACTTTCCATTAGTTTTGGTAGTTTATGCCATGGAAAAGGATGGGCAGTCTCCTCTGGTGTAATTAACTGCCTCTGAAAACCCACCAGAGGGTCAGCAATGGGCCGGTTCCATCTCTACGGTACACAGTGCAACAACAATGTGTCATAGATTAGGGCTGGAAGGTTTTTCTTTAGTTCTGGGGTTTGCACCTAGATGTGTGCTCTTTCTTGAGTTATGTTGTTGTTGATTGCCTTCTAGTCGAGCAAGACTCATAGCGACCCTATGAACAAAAGGTCTGAAGCCCCTCTATAACTATCGACACTTATCAAAGTTCATAGAGTTTCTGGAGGCATGTTTCTTGAGTTATATGACCTGACATATAGATCTTGTTTCAATTTTCTATAGTTTTTGTCAGTACCTTTCTCTAAAGCTGTCCATAGATGGATGGATTTGTTTTTGCATTTTCAGTCTATTCCATTGGCATATTGCCTGTCGCTGTAGCAATACCAGGTTGTTCTAGTTACCATGACTGTAAAGCAGATTTTGGGGTCAGGAATTTTAAGGCCTTCTACTGGTTTTTTCTTCTTTAATAACTCCTGGTCTACCTGTGGTCTCTGCCTTTTAAAATTGATGATTACTTTTTCAGTCTCATTGAAGAATGCTACTGGGATCTGGATCAGTGTTACATTATATCAATAGATCGCTTTTGGTAGTATTTCCATTTTCACAATATTAAGTCTTCTGATACATGATGAGCAAGGTACATTTTCCCCATTTATGTAGGTCTCTTTTATGGTAGTATCTTGTAGTAATGTTTTATCATTTTCATTGTATAAGATTTTTGTATTTCTAGTTCTGTTTATTTCTATGTAATCTTTTAGGTGACTATTACAAATGGCATTGTTTTCCATATCTCTTTTTCATAGTGTTCTTTGTTACTGTAGAGGAATTCACCTGATTTCTACCTGTTAATCTTGGACCCTGCTGCTTTGCGGAATTGCTTAACTAAATACAGTATTTTTTTTGTTGCTGAGTTTTTGATACAATTTTTTAATATATAGGATCATATTAAACACAAAATTCATTGACTATGCAAAGGCATTTGACTGTGTAGATAATAACAAACTGTGGCTGACTCTGAGAAAAATGGGAATCCCAGAACACTTGATCATTCTAATGCGAAACCTATACTTGGACCAGGAGGCAGTCGTCAGAACAGAGCAAGGGAACACTGCATGGTTCAAAATTGGGAAGGGCATACACCAGGGATGCATCCTATCTCCATACCTTTTCAACCTATATGCATAACAGATTATCCGGGAGGCTGGGCTCTATGAGGACAAATGTGGGGTCAAGATTGGTGGACGATTTATCAACAATCTGCGTTATGCAGATGACACAACCCTGCTTGCTGAAACTGCTGCAGAGTGTCAAGGACTGCAGCCTACAATATGGATTGAGGCTCAATGTCAAGAAGACAAAGATTCTCACCACTGGACCAATTGGCAGCATCAGTATGGATGGTGAAGAGATTGAGATTGTACACAGCTTTAGTTTGCTTGGCTCCACAGTCAACAGTCTTGGCACCAGCAGCCAGGAAATTAAAAGGTGCATTGCCATGGGAAAGTCTGCTGTTAGGGACCTCTCCAAAGTACTGAAGAGCAATGGTGTCTCTCTGGAGACCAAGGTGCGTTTGATACAGGCCATGGTCTTCGCAATCACTTGTTATGCATCAGAGAGTTGGACAATGACCAAAGAGGATAGAAGGAGAATTGATGCCTTTGAGCTGTGGTGCTGGAGAAGAGTATTGAGAATACCATGGACTGCTAGGAAAACAAACAGATTTGTCCTGGAAAGGGTTAAACCGACTGGCTCCTTGGAGGCAAGGATTCTGAGGCTCCGTCTAACATACTTTGGACATGTTGTGAGGAGAGACCGGTCCTTGGAGAAGGATATCATGCTTGGGAGGGTGGAGGGATGGCGCAGGAGGGGAAGGCCCTCTATGAGGTGGATTGATTCAGTGACTGGGGTAATCGGGATGGGGGTGTCCGAGACAGTGCGATTGGCACAGGACAGAGCAGAGTTTAGGGCTGTTGTACATAGGGTCGCTATGAGTCACAAACGACTCGATGGCACACAACAACAACAATAGGATCATATAATTGATTAAAAATAATTATACTTTTTACAATTTGATTTGGCAAATCCAAATTCTTTATTTTAGCTTATTGTTCTGACTAGGATTTCCAATACATTATTGAATGGGAGTGATTATAAATGCCATCCTTGTCTGGTTCCGATTCACAAAGGGAATGCCTTCTTTCTCCATTGAGAGTAATGTTTACCATTGGTTTTGTATATGTACACATTTAATTTTGTTACAGAATGTATCTCTTATTCTTATATTGTTGAGGTTGTTTATCAGAAAAGGGTGCTAAATTTTGTGAATAGCTTTTCTGCATCAGTTGGAATGAGCACGTGGGTGTTAATAAAACATTTTCTTTACTATGATGTTGTGGATTACACTAATTACTATGTTGAGCCATCTTTGCACAGGTAGTATAAATCCCACTTGACAGTGATGGTTTTTTAAAAATTTTATATTCGGTTCTGTTGACTGAGAATTTTTGCATCTATGTTCATGGGAGATATTGGTCTATAATTTTCACTTTTAGTATTGTCTTTGCCTGATTTTGGGGTCAGGATTATTAGTAGAATGAGTTCAGGAGTCCAGCTATTTATTCTGGAATAATTTGGACACAGTTGGGGCCAGGTTTTCTTCAAATATTTGGCAGAATTCACCAGTGAAGACATCTAAGCTAGAGTCAGGATGGTTTTTAGTTGGAAATATTTTTAGCATCGGTTCAATTTTTTCTTTAATGAATCTGTAAAATTTTCCACCTTTGTTTTAGTTTAAGTAGGCAGTGAGTTTCTAAAGATTTGTCCATTTCATCTAGGTTTTCATATTCATTAGAGTATGTTTTTTCCTTCTTGTCGTTGTGTACCATTGAGTAGGAACCAACCCACAGCTGATCCACCAGCAGGTTTTCAGAGGCAATTAATTGCACAGGTGGAGATTGCCCATCCTCCAGTTAATTCTGTTATGACATCACCTATTTAATTTCTTATTTGTGTTATTTGCACATCATTCTTTTGTTAGATTTGCCAGTGACATTCAAGAACCAATTCCTATTCTGGCTGACTTTTTCTATTATTTTTCTGTTTCATTTATTTCTACTCTTGATTATTTCTTTTTTTCTGGAGACGATAAGCTTTGCTTGCTGTTCTTTTTCTAATTGTCAGAGATGGTAGGTTTAAGTGTTGATTTGAGTTCTTCTATTTTGATGTACGTGCTATATTACGAAATGATTTCCAAACACTGCTTTTGGTGTTCCCAAAGATTTTTGTATGTTGTGTTTTTAGTCTTAATTGTTTTAAAACACTTTCAATTTCTCTTTTTATTTCTTCTGACTCAGAAAGCTCTAGTGGCTGATTGGTAAGGACTTATACTGCCAAGTCAAAGGCAGGCAGTTCAAATCCAGTAGCAGTTCTTTGTGAGAAAGATTGGCAGTGTCCTCCTGTCCAGGGTTCTGCCTCTGAAAACACACTGTCGGGTCAGCTATGGGTTGGTTCCGACTAATTGGTATACAACAACAACGATAGGGCCCCATAGTGTTTAAGATAGGGGATAGTTTCTGAGTATTTGAGGTCCCACCCCCTTGATCTTCCTGATGTTAATTTTTAATTTGATAATATTGTGGTCTGAGATGATGCTTTGTAGTATTTCAGTATTTTTTAATTTCTTGATTGCCTGAAATTTTAAAAGCTTACAAACAGCTGTCATGCTATCACAGTAGACCTCCATGGATCTAGAGTAACACTGGAAGAAGAAAAATTCTGAAACAGAGGACTTGTTAAAATCTGCCTGTGTACCTTTAGGACAGAAGAGCTGTGCAGTGCTGCCATTACTGAACAATTTGATCTAAGATTCTGTAGGAGAATCTTGATTGAGGATGTGTGTATGGAACGCAAGTTAAGATTCTCAAAGCCATCCATGTCTTCTAGAGCCATAGAAGCTAGACAAACACCTACATACCTAAAACCGTTGCCCTAAATTATAATCTTTAAGCAATAAACCAAACAATAACATAATAATAAGAACAATAAAATAAACAGCTTGTTTTTATTTGTAAAGTCTGCACTGCCAACCTAAAGGCAGGCAGTTTGAATCCACCAAGTACTCCACAGGAGGAGGATGGACAGTCTCTTTCTATGTGCTTTACAGCCTCTGAAAACCTGCTGGAGGGTCAGCCATTTCCGTTCTGTAGCAATGAGTTTTGTTGAGTTGATCTTCCTTGAGCTAATATTAGCTCTTTGTATGTAATCAAATTGACAGTAGCATCTCAAAAAGTCAGATAAGCTTAGGGCCAGAGAGTTTATGTTAATTATAAGGAAATAAATTGGGAAAGAATAGTTACACTGATCTTTATATATAAAATTTGTGGAAATGATTTGCTTTATATATTTCACCAAATAAGTAAATAAATGCCTAATAGGGTATGTTGCTAGGAGGGACCAGTCCTTGGAGAAGGATATCAAGCTTGGGAGGCTGGAAGGACAGCTCAAGAGAGGACCCTTGATGAGATAGATTGATTTCGTGACTGAGATAGCGGGAGAAGGTGTGCCAGAGACCATAAGTTTGGCACAGGATAGAGCAGGGTACAGGACTGCTGTACATAGGCTCGCTATGAATCACAAGTGACTTGTCGGCACTTTACAACAACAACAGTGGCAAGAAGCTGTGCTGCAATCACAAAAGCACACATCTCCAGGACACCAGCTGCTCCATGGGAGAAGGGTGGGAAATCACCTCCCATGCAATTAATTGCCTCTGAAAACTCCACTGGAGGGTCAGCTGTTGGTTGGTTCCTACTCTGTGATACACAACAACAATGAAGAATGCTTACGGTGATAAATCTGATGAGCAGTACTAAGACTGTGAAATGGAAGCACAGATTGAAATATGCAAAGTTCATTTGAAAATGAATACTGCATATTTAGGGATAACTGACAAGTTAAATAATCGTAAGTGACATGGACAGCCGACAGAACAAACAGTTATGTCTTGGGGATAGTGCACCTGGAGTGCTCTTCAAAGGCAAGAATGATGAAACTTCGCCCCACATACTTGTGGCATGTTGCTAGGAGGGGCTGTTCCTTGGAGAAGGACATGATGCTGGGAAGGGTGGAGGTCCAGGCGGCAAAGGAGAGAGAGATCCTCGACCAAGTGGGTCGACATTGTTACAATTGCAATGGCTCTAGTGTGTCAGGAAGTGTGAAGATGGTACAGGAAAGGACAGGGTTCAGATCTGTTGTTGATAGGGTCATAATGGGTTGTACTCGACGGCACCCAACAACAACAGGGATAAACACCTAATTTGTTGCTGTCCAGTCAGTATCTCTAGTAGCTTTCCTGAGGAGGTAGATTGTACAGTGGTCTGGAGGTAAGAAACTACACTGCAGTCCCAAAGGCAGTCTCTGCTGGGGTGTTAGCTGTGGATCAGTTCAGACTCAACAGCAAACAATAACAAATCGTAGAGGAGATTGCACATCTTTCTCCCGCAGGGCAGTTGGTGGCTTATCCGAATCAATTTCCTTTGGGTTGGCAACACTATCTAGGATTAGTGATTCATGTATTCTTTGCTTTCCTATATTTATTTATAGAGCTTAATGAAGGCTTAAAGGAAATTTTAAAACTTAAAACAGATTTTATTATTTTAGGTAGAGACACCAAGACACTCTCAAATCTGTCCAAGAGCATCTCCATTCCTGGCTCCTCTTCTGCCATCCCATCCACAAGTAAGAAGTGGCTTTTCTTTTACAGATACTATTTTAGACCAAGCCATTCTACTAAATGAGATAATTATCTGAGACCTCCTTTTACTGTCACTTGCTTTGATAGTTCTTAGTGGATAGTACAGCAAAGATCTTTTCCAATTATTTCAAGCTGAGGAGGAGTTTGGGAGGGGATAGGAATTGAAACAAGCAAGAGTGATTTGAACAATTGTGTTTTCCTTATTTCTGTTTTTTACTATAGGCAAAGAAATCAAGAAATCCAAACTCATCCGAAGTCAGTCTTTCAATAGTCAGTCTTTTCACTCAAAATACAGCAACATGGAAAAGTGCGCTAGGTATGCTCTCTCAGCTACTAATTTCTGTTAAGTGGGGGATTTTTATTTTATAGTCAAACATCTTTATTTCTGTAAAGTATGTTTTACCAAGTTACTTGAAAAGAAATCAAGTTAATGTTGAAGATCTCTGTAAACTTTCATTAAAATATCAATAAAAATATATGTAAAAAAGGAAAAGATTGTTGGATTAAAAAATAGAAGACTATTGGTTTGTGTAACCAACGTTCTAAGAAGAATATAGCCATCACACTGTTGAAGAACATCCTGGGGTTCATGTGTGGTTTTATGAGGAAAATAGTGCTGTATCACATATGCCACTTCTAAATGTATATGGACGTACACAAGCCAGTGTATGTGTGTGTATGTATCTGCTTGGTATTGTTGTTGTTTCTGCCTATTATGAAGCCACTAGCATTCTCCTCTGGTACAGTATCTTAACAATGCTCCTCTGACAAAAGATGCGTGTCTGATTTTCCACTCAACCCAGAAGACAGAATTCTAGACCAGTAAGATAAAGGAAAAGTGAATATGAATCACACAACTGAATTTTAGAGGTTCTGTATAATAATGTATATAACAGTTGCATTATCAGTTGGCAAGCAGAATAACTTTAAAGATGTAGAAATGTCTTTAGGTAAATTCATTGACCTATTGAGATAATGTCTTTTTTTAAAACTCTCATTTTTCTGTGACTCAAGGTAGCCTATTATAAATTTTAAGAAACTTATAGACATTTTCAGCACACCTATCGTAGAAATCCTACCCAATAGAGTAACCTTGAGGCGGACAAAGGAGTCAAAGTTGCTTCCAAGAAAATGTTGCCCATCTTACTTACCTGTATTAGCTAGACATTGAAAGGATAACCATTATCCTGGTGCAAACATGTCTGAAAGCTCTTTTAAATTATAGACAGAGTGGCGAGGCCTAGGCTCTCTAAGTGAATGATAACTAAAAGCAGCAAACATTTCACAAGAAGTAGAGGAAAGCATTGGAAGGGGTTGAGAGGTTAAACAGACTTCACACTCGATGACTGATTGGAAGGAGAATGTTCTTACTGTTTAAATGAAACCATGTTTTTTTCTAGTAAAAGTTCTGCAACAGGATGTACACTTCCTGTCTCGGGCTTAACGAAGAGTTCTGTTTTTTCACTAACTGGTAAGTGCCAATCTGAGATCTTTCCAAAAACACCAGAAGAGGTTTCTTAAAGAATTTAAGTGTAAAGAATTTCTGGGTACATTGTTTCTCCTAAGTTTTTACCTTTGTCAAATCCTTGTAATGAAACTTCCCTCTAACAATTGAGGAAATACTTGACCCTTTATATTACTTCTTGTTTTCATTGTGTTAAGGTCCGTAGTTGAATATCTTAAAGAGAAAACTTTTTGTTTGTTTAATTTTTAGTTTGTTTACAGTGTCAAATGTCTGTGAGGATGGATAGTAATTAGAACACTTACACTGCTGGGCACAGTCACTTTGGGTGACTGTGTTGTGGTGTGGTGGTTTCATAAGTATACATTTATACCCATCGCTGCAATTCTACTCCTAGGCATTTACTGAAGAAAATGAAACAGATATATCCATGCAGAGACTTGTACATAAATGTTCAAAGTGACTTTATTTGCAATAGTAGTGAAACAATACAGAGAGCTATCAAGAGTTAGAATGAATAAACAAATTCCTTTTATGCAATAGAATTTTAGTCAGTAAAATTAGGAAGAAAGTATTGACAGACACAGTAATATTAATGAAGCACAAAAAGCTGTGCTTAATGAGAGAAATCCGACAAAAAAGAATCCTATATAATTTCATTTATATAAAATTTTAGAAAATAACAATTTTTACTTAACTCAGATTTACTGCTGTCTAGTCACTTCTGACTCATAGCAGTTCTTTCCTTAGGCTTCTGAGGTTGTAAATTATAGCTGGAAGAAACTGCCCACTTTTCTCCAGTGGAGCACTGGTGGCTTTGAACCCCTGGGAGTTTGCAGCCTGCGAGTTAGCCGCGGACCTCACTGTGGACTATGTCACAGAGGTCAGGAGGCAGAGTGGTGGCTGCCCAAGCATGGGAGACAGGGGTTACGTCAGGGCCCGAGGAGGGTTTTAGTAGTGATGTAGGTCACTATCAAAAACAATTCCTGAGTCTGTTGGTCAAAACTTAAAAGATTAGGTGGTTATATCTGTGTATTTTATTATATGTAAGCTCAGCTGCCAACCCAAAGACAGGCAGTTCAAATCCATCGGGTGCTCTGCAGAAAAAAGGTGGCCATTCTCCCTTGCAATTTACAGCCTTGATGAGTCAGTTCCAACTCGACAGCACATAGTAACAACGACTTCTACAACATACTTAAGTTGATTTTTTAAAAAATGACTTTAACCTTTTCATATCCAAGGTTAACATCTTTCTTGGAATGCTCAATTTTTGTCTATACGCATATTCTTTCAGACGAATCATTCCGGACCCGTAATGCCAGTAGCCTTCCAGCCTCCTTTTCTCATACTTCTTTAACGAGCACTTCCCGTGGGACTGGTAACTCAGCTGACTCAAAAAACAACGGAAGTAAAGATAGTCAACCTCGGAAGGCCACCCTGTAAGTGATTAAGTGACACACTTGTAATTTGTAGTATCCTCTGCTTCATCTAAGAACATTTCCCTTCCCACTTAAACACTTCTCACAGAGTAGAATATGTCTGTAACTAGGAGATGTTAGAAACAAAAAATAGATGTGCCCATTAGATAGATAGCCTCTATAAAATGATTTCTGTAGAGCAAAGACAATGGCGATTATTAGGGAATCAGTAAGAACCGTTTAAAAGGCTCTCACTAATAGCTGAGAGCTGGTCATTCTTCTGTATGTTTACACCCAGGACATTTAATTTCTTTTCTTTTCTTTTTTTTTTTACGTTTAATTTCTGAGGAGACACGGGGTGTAATTGCATCCCTTGTAACAACCAGCTCGGGTACACGTGATTAAGTACCGTGCTTAATCACACAGTCACACAGTGCTGGAGAGGGCACAGCTGATGAAGAAATGGCTACTGTGACATAGATCCAGGCTGGTGGGGCCAGGAAACAGGCTCTCGGGGCCTTTCCTCCGTGGTCACTTTCCATGGGTCATTTAGATCTTGTTTGATTGCTGAAGCCTTTGCCATGAGGAATCATATATAAGAAATTATTTCACCACAAATTATAGTTTATCCTCTGATCTGGAATGCCTGAGCCTTTAATAAGAATAGATAGAATTTAAACAAGCTACAGATGTAACTGCCATGTTACATCACTACTTATTTTTTTATCATTACTTATAAATGTAAAATTTGTATATATATAAAACCACATAAATGCCAAATGATATCATTATGTAACTGCCAAATCACTGAGACTCGTGGTAGGTACAACAGAAGTGGCATAGAACCTTCCCCATCACTGCCACAATTACAATTATGTAACACCTTGTCTATCATTCATTGCTACCAGATGTGTATTATTGTGCAAAATAGTAGGATAGTAATTTTTGCTATTATTATTTGAGAAACGTTGGATAATGATAGACCATAACTGAGTAGTAGGTGTATAGGTTTGCATCATATCTTATGCCTTTTAAGTCCAATAACTTGATACGTTCAGGCCTTCATTTGATATTAGATGCCATTTCACCTCATCCTTTTTTATTATGGCTGTGAAGATATAAAACATTTGCAAAGCCATATGAGTTAATTTCTCCCCTGACTGACTGGTGAGTGCATGTTTGATGTTTTCTATTTAATGATAATTTCATGGAGTAGTATAACTTCCCCCAGATTCACTATCCTCATATATTAGGTTTACTTAAAACAGGTTATGTCTAAATTCCTTTATTTACTTTGTAAACATCATGTAGGTAATTTTTCTTTTTCCCCCTTCCTTCCCTCTTTCTCTCTTTTCCTCTCTATTTTTTGATAAAGAAAATCCAGAAAATCCAATCCTTAAATCTGCTTGATGAAGGAAGCAGAATGCACACAGCTGGAGGCAATATGATTGGTGAACAAACACTAAAGCAATGGCCGGGCTTCTCCTGTTTCCCTTTTCTTTGTTTTTTTGATGAAAAGAGATATCTGAGAGATATCTAATGTTGTTAAACTTCCCACTTTTGAAATTAGATTTTCTAGGAGGAATAACACTTATTTCTACAAACAATAATGGTTATAGAATACTGATGTTACATTGAAGTCTAACAAAGAGCAAGTGTAGGTACGTTCTTTGACTACTGCTACAGACCAGAAGAGTCTGCCCTTACTGTTTAGGGAACCATCTATGTTACTGTCCTCATTTAGAGAGCCAATATGCAAGTTCAAAGAACTGAACTTGCCCTAGTTAATCAGTCATTTGGAGGAATTGGGGAAATGTGGAAGAGAAGGTGTTGTCTAGCCAGTCTTCAAGTACCGTTGAAAAGCCGTACTGAAGAGGAAATGAAAAACTGTCCACAATTCTATATGTCCTGTGATTGCGGTGATGTGTTGTCCTTGGGCATTCACAAATTTAAATATGACAGTGAATATTCTAAAGATTACAGAGAACTTCAATGCAAGTACCTTAAAAATAATAGATTGATGATTTCCTTTATTTCCTAGAAAAATTTATTTTATAAATACTTTGTTTACATTTCAGAATGCATTTTTCCTTAATTTAAAATGATGACTCTAGATCAGCTGTTATTCCAGGCTATCATGCTTAAGCGATAACAACAGCATTTATTTGTACTAATGTTAATATTACCATCAGAATTTGCCTGTGGAACATAAACAGTTCTTAATTTAAAAATGTCAGTTCTTGAAATATACTGTATGAAGCTATTGTCAGCTTCCTTATTTAAAAATGCAATCAGCATACAACTATATTGGTATTAGGAGATTCTTGTTTTTTTAAGATTCTAATGTGATAAAGATGATCTAATTTGCGAATGCATATGTGTGTGTGGTTACGTTTTTTATAATGTGAAATAGTGAATTTACTCAAAATATAGGTTGCTGAGAAGCCTGTGTTTGTGAAAACACTTTTAAGTGTTTTCCAGCAGGTTTTATTTAATAAATACAAAGTAAGACAGTCTGTTTTAAGCAGTGAATGAGAGAACCATGTTGTTGTTATGTGCCATCAAGTCGCCTGTGACCCTATGTACAACAGCTCTGAAACCAGCCCTGTCCTTAGCCAGTCTCTCTAATCCTGATACACCAATCTCCATTGTCCCAGTTATTATATTAATTCATCTCATCTAACGTCTTACTCTCCTGTGCTGTCCCTCCACCCTTCCAAGGATGGTGTCCTTCTCCAAAGACCAGTCTCTCCTGGCCACATGCCCAAAGTATATGAGACAGAGTTTCAAAATCCTAGCCTCCCAGGAAAAACTTGGTTTCACCCTCTCCATAACAGACCTATTTGTTTTCTTGGCTGTCCATGGTATGTTCATGACTCTTCTCCAGCCACAATTCGAAGGCATTGGTTCTTCTCCTGTCATATTTAATCATTGTCTAGCTCTCTGAAGCATAACAAATAATTGAAAAGACCATGGCTTGAATTAGGCACACCTTGGTCTCTAGACTGACATTGTTGCTTTTCAGTACTCTGGAGAGGTCCCTGACAGCAGATTTTCGCAATACAATTCACAATTCATCTTTTGATTTCCTGACTGCTGGTGTTAAAAGAACATTGATGGTGGAGCCGAGCAAGCTGTAATTGTTAACAACCTCAATCGATTTTCCATCTGTCATGGCCCTACCAATTGGCCCAGAGGTGAGAATTTTTGTCTTCTTGATGTTGCGCTTCAGTCCATATTGAAGACTACAGTCCTTGACCTTCTGCAGCAAGTGCTACAGTAGGTCTTCTTCAGTTCCAGCAAGCAAAGTTGTTTCATCTGCACAGCATAGGTTGTTGATGAGTCTACCTCCAATCCTGGTGCCACACTTCTCCTCATAAAGCCAGCTTCACAAATGATCTGTTCTGCATGCATATTGAAAAGGATGGGGACAGGATGCATCCCTGATACCCTCCTTTCCTGATTTTGAACCATGCGATATTTCTCTGTTCTGAAGACTGTAGCACAGTCAAGTGTTCTGGGATTCCCATTGTCCTCAAGGTTAGCCACAATTTGTTGCGATCCATACAGTCAAATGCCTTTGCATAGTATACTAATATCCAGTTATTCAAGGGATAGTTTACTGAGTATGTGAGACTTTTTCTTCTCTTTGTCCCTCCTTTTTCTCTCCTCACCAGGGCCGTGGGTGGGGAGTGCTCAGCTGCTACGCTGGGCACTGTGTGCTCCTCCCTGCAGTTTGCTTTCCTGGGCCTGGTAGCCTGGGGAATGCCGTAGCACATTTTGACTCTCTCCTGGAGGGTTGCTGCACGTCAGAATCAATTCCACGGTAACAGGTTTATCTGTTATGTTTGGGTTTGGTTTTAATTCTCCTTATAGTTTCTTTTTTTGCTATTTGTTAAGTGTTCATTAAATATCAGTTGGGTAAATGGAATTGTTCAACCAACTCATTCATTTATCATCTTTGGTTAAAAATTGGGTAGGTATAAAGAATTTGACAATACTATCTAAACAGATTTAACAGATTCTTTGTGGATTTTACATAACGAATTATGTCTCCACTAGCATCAGTAACCTAAGATTGGATAGATCATGCTTTAAGATAGAGCATTTGGAATACATAATGTAGCATCAAAGCTGCTTTGGTTTTTCTATACTTTGATAGTCAGTGATGGTGGTTTAAATAAAAGAAAATTCCTATTTATTTGGTAATTAAAAACTTTAGTAGAGTCTTAACTTATTTTTCCATTGTGCATATGGGAGAAGGAAGTGATTTGACAGAGAAAAGTTATTACAGATAATGTTTGCTGTTGTTGTTGTGTGCTGTTGTCTCTTGTGACTCATAGTGACCCTGGGTACAATAGCTCTGAACCCTGCTCTATCCAGAGCCAACCTTATTGTCTCTGACACACCTACCCCCATTACCCAGTCACTGAGTCAGTCCGTTTTCTTGAGTTTTCTTATCTTGGCCTGTCCTTCCACCTTCCCAAGCATGATGTCCCTCCCCGAAGACGGGGCTCTCCATGCAACATGCCCAAAGTATGTCAGAAGGAGCTTCAGAATCCTTGTCTCCAAGGAACAACCTGATTTTACCCACTCTAGGAAGAACCTGTTTGTCTTCCTAGCAGTCAATGGTATATTCAGTACTCTTCTTCAACAACACAGCTCAAAGTCATAAGTCATTGTCCAGCTTTCTGATGCATAGCAAGCAATTGCGAAGACCATGGCCTAGATCAGGCACACCTTAGTCTTCAGATTGACATTGTTTCTCTTTAGTACTCTGGAGAGGTGCCTAAGAGTGGAGTTTCCCAATGCAATTTTTTTTTTAATTTCCTGGCTCTGGTACCAAAGTTTAGACATAGAATATAATCTTATTTTTTGGCATTATATTATCACTTAAATAATTAAACCAAATGACTTTTGAAAGTATTAGGACAATAATTTCTAAAGTCTTTGAAATCTGTTAAAATTATACTTCCAAGAACAGATTTATAGAAAAAGAGTAAAGAACAAAGTGCTTACAAAAATGAAGACATTCACACATTTATATCAGAAAATGATACAGATATTCTTGTAAAAACTGTTAGTGTAACAGCTTATCGAGTAGTTCCTTCTAGTAGTTGTATGAGAAGGAAAGATCTCCCTCTACCTGTAGCTGCAGAGAAAACGTCTCCTTCATGTCTCTGTTACTTATGGAAACTTGTATTTTTCAAGAAAGGTACTAGAATTTCATTGATGTGTACTATTGAGTCAGACAGACCCATTGCTGACTCTCCAGCATGTTTTCAGAGGCAGTAAATTTCACAGGATAGTATTGCCCATCTTTCTCCCATGGCGAATTTGAACTGTGTACCTTTGTGTTGGGAGCACAACTACTTGCCACTAAGCCACCAGACCAGGTAGCAGTAAGAAGCTGTGCTGCAAACCCAAGAGTGCATGTTTTGAATCCACAAGATGCTCCGTGGGAGAAGGACTTTACTGTCTCTGAAAACCTGCTGGAGGGTCAGTCAAAGGTTGCTTCAACTCGAAGACAACAAGAAGCCACGAGAGCTCCCTTACTAGTATTTTAAGCAGAAAGCAAGCCTATGGTGCTAGAATTTACAGCCAGAAATGGAGATGGAAAGAAAATGGAAAAGGCAAAGCAGCAGCATGTAGCACTTTCTTCCACAACTTCATACACGTGCAGCCTCATATAAAATCATCTCCCTTATCTGACTTCCTGAGTCTGAACATCTTGCTCTAGAAAGAAGAGCTCATACCCGTTTTGGCTCGCGGTGAGTGGGCATGCGAGACATGCGATTGAAATGGAACAGCTTCTTCAGCTTCAGTAGGAGTTTGGCCTTGAAACTCCATAATCTTTTCTCAGTTGTCAGAGTGTGTGTGTATGTAGGAGCAGTTTTAAAAAGTCAGCCTTTCTGTTTAGAGAGACCTTACACAATTTTCAATATTTCTATTTCAAAAAATATTTTCAGTATTTCCCCTGTCAATTGAAACCTTCAATTGTTGTTTTAAGATAAATTTTATTTCTCACTGACGTGCGTTTTTCTGTGCAAACGTACTTCTAAAATATGAAATGTAGTGTTTTAGGAATGTCATTCAGCACATTTCAAAGGTAAAAAAAGTCAAAGTCATTGACATGGAGTCAGACTCAACTCATACACTTTGACCCTCCAGTTTCTAAAGCTGTAAGTTGTGAGAGAGGAGCTAGCCCGCTTTCTCCGGCACAGCTGCTGGTGGGGTCATCCATGGCCCTGTGGACAGTGCCACCTGAGCTCCCTTGAGCATTTGTAGGAGAACGTGAAACAAAATCTTAGAACTAGAGAATAGAATCATTTTCTTTTACCGCCCCCTCCCCCCTTATATAGTAAAGAGACTTTATTTAGAAACAATTATTGCATTCCAATGCCAACATACTTCTTTACGCTGTTATGTTAGACCTCTGGTTCCTCTTCAAACCAGAAGGTAGGCTGAGCAAAACACCTTCCAGGAGTTCTCCTGCTTAGAGGAAAGGTGACCTCGGATAGTATGAATGCATATAGTAACCCTCTGCTTGTTGTTGTTGTTGTTATGTGCCGTCGAGTCGCTTGCGATTCATTGTGACCCTATGTACAACAGCCCTAAACTCCGCTCTGTCCTGTGCCAATCGCACTGTCTCTGACACTCCCATCCCGATTATCCCAGTCACTGAATCAATCCACCTCAGAGGGCCTTCCTCTCCTGCGCTGTCCCTCCACCCTCCCAAGCATGTTGTCCCTCTCCAAGGACTGGTCTCTCCTCACCACATGTCCAAAGTATGTTAGACGGAGCCTCAGAATCCTTGCCTCCAAGGAACCACCCGGTTTAACCCTTTCCAGGACAAATCTGTTTGTTTTCCTAGCAGTCCAGGTATTCTCAGTACTCTTCTCCAGCACCACAGCTCAAAGGCATCAATTCTCCTTTTATCCTCCTTGGTCATTGTCCAACTCTCTGATGCATAACAAGTGATTGTGAAGACCATGGCCTGTATCAAACGCACCTTAGTCTCCAGAGAGACACCATTGCTCTTCAGTACTTTGGAGAGGTCCCTAACAGCAGACTTTCCCATGGCAGTGCACCTTTTAATTTCCTGGCTGCTGGTGCCAAGACTGTTGACTGTGGAGCCAAGCAAACTAAAGCTGTGTACAATCTCAATCTCTTCACCATCCATCCTGATGCTGCCAATTGGTCCAGTGGTGAGAATCTTTGTCTTCTTGACATTGAGCCTCAATCCATATTGTAGGCTGCAGTCCTTGACCTTCTGCAGCAGGCGCTTCAGGTCCTCTTCAGTTTCAGCAAGCAGGGTTGTGTCATCAGCATAACATAGATTGTTGATAAATTGTCCACCAATCTTGACCCCACATTTCTCCTCATAGAGCCCCGCCTCCCGGATAATCTGTTCTGCATATAGGTTGAAAAGGTATGGAGATAGGATGCATCCCTGGAGTACGCCCTTCCCAATTTTGAACCATGCAGTGTTCCCTTGCTCTGTTCTGATGACTGCCTCCTGGTCCAAGTATATGAAAACCCACTCAACTAACTTGTCCTTGGTAGGATCATGTCATTAGCAAGATGAAGACCATTTTTTAACCTAGAGAATAATGTCTTATTTATGATGGTCATGCTGGTTTTGTTTTAAGAACTGATGGGGGAAAATATATTTTAAAAAAAGCGGTGTATGAGGGAATGGGAACGTGATCTGTATGTAGTATGAATCCTTCAATAATGGACCATTTTTAATTGGGCTTGGCCATATTCTTGAAGGCATATGTTCTCATAAACTTTGCTTTGTTGACTTCATCTCTTGAAATTAGGGCATTTCACTGTATCACTTTTCATTATTGTTTGTAGTTGTTGTTCTCAAATTGAGTACAGCTCATAGCAACTCTCTGAACAGCAGATATAAACCCTGTCCTATCCTGTGCAGCAGATATAAACCCTGTCCTATCCCCACCATCTGACACAGTTGATCCCAGTCCATCTCGTTGAGGGTTGTGCTTCTTTCACTGATGTTCCACCTTTCGGAACATGAAGTCCCTCTCCAAGGATTAGCCTCTCTCTCCTAACATGCCCAAAGTATGTGAGATGAAGCTTCACCATTCTTGCCTCTTAAGAAGCATTCTGGATGCACCTTCTCCAAGTACTGTTCTAATGTCAGCCCATGGAATGTTCAGTGCTCTTCTCCAGCACCACAGCTCATAGACATCAGTTCTTCTGTCATCTTTATTCATTGTCCAGCTCTCAGATGCATAGCATGTGATTGAACAGACCATGCTTGCGTATGACACGTCTTGGTCTTTAAAGTGACATCGCTGTTCTTCAGACTATGGAGAAGCCTTTGAAAGCAGACTTTATTGTTCTAGTTTTACTTAAACAAACCTAATTAAACACAAATGTCAAATTAGAAAGTCAGGTGGATTAGCCCTCTGTCTGTGCCATTCGCTTTCTAGACCCAGAATGGCCAGGCTGCCTCACCTTAGTGACCAAGATGAGGAAGTCAATGTTGTTGTTGTTGTTATGTGGCGTCGAGTCAGAGCTAACCCATAACTGACCCTCCGGGGGGTTTTCAGAGGCTGTTAATCACATGGAATTGTCCATCCATCTCCTGCAGACTAGCTGGTGGATTCGAATTGCATACCTTTCAGATTTCAGGGCAGCTTCTTACCAGTAGGTCACCAGCATGGCCTAGGCAAGCAGAGATAAGAGTACATTTATAATATTCAGTTGGACACTTAATCAAGACAGCTGACACTCTTCAAGATTAATTAGCTTTATTCATGATTCTCTAACCCCTAAAATACTGTCTTGTATCTGTGACAGAAAATGGCCACCTGAGAAGGCCTTTGGTGCGTTTGGTATTTTCCTGTTGATCGTGGGCAAGCCCCATGCTTGTACTGTTTCACCCACAGTGGGTCACCAAGAGGCATGCTCCTGTTCAGCTGGACTCCTTCACAAAGTTTTGGGGAGAACGAAGAGTGGAATGGGTTTTGGAACTGGACCCAGAAGATGCAGGCCAACATCTCTGCTATTGCTAAGCTGGGTGACCATGACCTGGGAAGCCATAGACAAATGTTGATACTTCTCTCGGGAGGGTTGACTTACTTATTAGGTGCAGCAGGCATGGAATTTAAGGATCATATTATTTTATATCCTGGAAATACTTTCATTCTCAAAATAAGCAGAACCTGAAGAGCAATGATGTCAGTCTGGGGATTAAGGTGCACCTCATCAAGGCCACAGTCTTTGCAATTGCTTGCTATACATCAGAAAGCTGGACAGTGACTAGGGACGATAGAAGAATTGATACCTTTGAGCTGGGGTGTTGGAGAAGAGTATTGAATGAACCGTGGACTGCTAGGAGAACAAACAGGTTTTCCCAGAGAGGGTGAAACCAGGCTGCTCCTTGGAAGCAAAGATTCTGAAGCGACGTCTGACATACTTTGGTCATGTTGCAAGGAGTGACAATCCTTGGAGAGGGGCATCATGCTTGGGAGGGTTAAGAGACAGCACAGGAAAGGAAGAGCCTTGAGATGGATGGATTCAGTGACTGGGTAATGGGAGTAGGTGTGCCAGAGACACTAAGGTTGGCTCTGGATAGAGCAGGGTTCAGAGCTGTTGTACACACAAGGTCACTGTAAGTCACAAGCAACTCAACAGCATATAACAACATCCTTCTACTGCTGTGAAGGAACTCTTCAAAGTACTGAAAAGCAAGGGTGTCAGCTTAAAGACTAACATGCGCCTTGTACAAACCAGTCTTTTTAGTTGCTTCCTAGATATCTGAAAGTTGCGGAATGAATAAGGACAACAGAAGAATGATCAATGCCTTTGAATTGTGGTGTTGGAGAAGAGTATTGAATAGCCCATGGACTTCTAAAAGAGCAAACCAGTCTTTTGTAGAAGAAGTGCCACCAGGGTGCTTCTCAGAGGCAAGGATGGTGGAACACTGGCCCACACTTGGGGCTTGTTTTCAGGAGGATACAGTCCTGGGAGAAGAAGGCACCATGCTAGGAAGGTGAGGAGATGAGCGAATGACCGGAAGATCCTCACCAAGGTCACTTGACACTGACTGTAACAGTGGTCTCGAGCGTCCAGAGGTGGAGCGGGTGGGCAAGGTTCAGAGCCGCTGTTCGTATAGGATCATTATGAGCCGTAGTCTTTGGAGGAAGGGGCTCATGAGGGTGCGCAGGGCTCCGATCATTCATAATGTGGCCATGTTTCGGTTTCCTGGTTCCATCTCAGTAAAAGGAAGCTATTGAGCCAGATGGTCTGTCCAGCTAATGCCTTTGCCAAATCATTCACATCACGGAGAGGGACGGGCAGTGTTGAGGCAGGTGCTGTGACCGTGAGTTCATTAGTCAGCAAGAAGTGATTCTGTAATGGGGTGAGCTCTGGTCGCCTAGTGGCAAGAAGCTGCACTGCATTCCCAAAGGTGTGTGGTTCGAATCCACCAGATGCTTTGCTGGAGAAGGAGGAACAATCTCCTCCTGTGCTAGTCAGATCCGATTTGATGGTACACACACACAAAAATATTAAAATAAGAAAAAGAAATGATTCTGTAATCAAGTGGAGTAAAGCACGGACTTTATAATATAGACAAGAGAGAAAAAGTGACGTAAGGGCAATGAAGGCCTGTCTTGCACCCAAAGACTTTATCTTGAAAGAGTTAGTGTTCTGAACGTGCCATTTTCCAAGTCCAGAAATGTAGCCACAAGAAAGATGAAGGTGTCTGACGTACCTAGTCACTGGTCAGATCCAGTCACTCATGGGAACAGATTTGAAATAGCAGGCAGTTTGCACAAACCACTCACATATGCATCTTTATTGATTTAACATGTGCATTTATGTAAGACAAGGTCAAAATAGCAGAGAACAAGGGGGCACTTTCCTCCTCCTCTGCTCCTAGTGTCCACATCCTGTGTAGGTCCAGACACAGACCCAGTGTCCACTTTCACAGTAAGGATGCCCAGAATCACAGAAGAGCCGGATTTGCCACCCTGCCCAGAAACAGAAGCATTCTAGAGGTCTCTTCATAGATCATGAAGTGAAATGGACGGTCCACTTTGATGCTAGGAGGCAGGGAATAAGCTATGATTTCTGACAGAGTGCCTGCTGCTGCCTCTGTTCCCTTTTCATCCACCTCAATCATTGCTCTTTGTAAAACCTAGAAAAATGAGAAACGAGAGACTGTTTATGTGGCTGTGGAGAAGCCGGAATTAATTGAGCCCCTTGAAGTTGTTCACTGTGCTCTTCCCCACAGACCTCTGCCCCTGGGACTTGGTGGTCTAGGCCTGTCTATGCTGGGAGCAGTGGTCAGGGTTCACGTGACCACAGAGACTCCAGGAGGCCAGGTAGGAAGCTCAGTTTGGGTCTGGACTGAGGGAGTCTCTGGCTGGCGGTTCATTTGCACATCTGCATGTCTGATCCACAATTATTTCTGGAGCATATATATTGTACCGTGGATTCCTGAACTAAAAGAATGCTCACTGGAGGTTTATAAACTGCCTGGGACTTCAAAAGGCCCCTAGAACTTTGACTTCCTCCTGACTGGTAGCTGGGGCACCTTCCATTTCCTGCCACCCAGTAGTGCTCTGATGAGTTTGCTGGGACAGGGCGTGGTCCCCATGTCTTGAAGTCCACTTTGGACTCAGGCTGCCCGTATTCCTGCCACCTGCCTTTTATTGGAGACTCTCCTGTCCAAGAACCTCACGTGCTGTGACTTGTGCCCTGTAGTTTATCAGATGAAGGGTTAATGTGTTCCCACAAAGATGTATTCTGGTGTACTACTAAAGCTTGGGAGTGATTTTTACATTTCAATACTAGGCATTTTTAAACTGGTGATTTCTTTTCAGAGCAGCAGCACATTTTGGTTTTCACTTAGTCACAGCAGTAATGGGATTTGTAAAGTCTTGTCTTTTGTAATGGATTGAATGGTGGTCTCCCCAAAAAGGTACATTTACCTTCACGGCCCCAGAACCTACCAGTATTGCCTTATTTGGAAAAAAGGATCCTTGTGGATATACTTTTTTTTTTTTTGGTCAATTTTTTTTTCATTAATGACTTTATATATATTTTTTTACACGATATTCTTTCCACTTAGTTTTTTCCCCCATTCATTCATAGTTGCACATTTTCCTCCATAAACAAATGGTGTTTGAAAAATTGGAAAACTGTAAAAAACTCAAGCAAGATTCATACCTCATGCCATACACAAGATTCACACCTCACGCCATACACAAAAACCAACTCAAAGTGGATCACGGACCTAGGACTAAAACCAAGGACTATAAACTTCAGTAGAAGAAAGCTTGGAAGAACTCTAGAAGCTGTAATCCACAACATAAACAGTCTTCCAAGCATCCTGAAAAACCTACAACCAGGAAAGGATAAAATAGATGAATGGGACCTTCTAAGATACAGTTTTGTTAAGGACTTGGAGGTAAGTTCTACCTGAGTTACTTGAGTGAGCCTAAACGCATTAGCAAGTGTCGATGTGAGAGAAAAAGGCTCACGCACACAGCTGAGGAGGTGCTGTGAGGATGGAGGCAGAGACTGCAGCAGTGTGGCAGGAAGCCAGGGAGTGCTTTCAGCCCCAGAAGCTGGACGAGCCCAGGAAGGGCTGTCACTAGATCCTGCAGAGGAGCAGTGTCCCTGCCACCACTGTGGGTTTGGACGGTTAGCCTCTGGAAGTGTGAGAGACTAAACGTCTGTCGTTTGTGCCACCCAGTGTGCGACAGTTTGTTATAGTACCTGCGGAAACTAACACGCTATCCCCCAGAAACCTGGGGTTGATTGCAGGCCAGGTTCATCTACTGAGCTGCACTTCCGTGGCTGATCCCAGCTCTCCTGAAACTGAAGAATGCATTTGTGGGGGAAATGTTAGCACAGTTAAGAACGAACGTGGTGAGACGTATTGTTCAGTTATTCAGAGACACACAAGGCTGCTTTCTTGATTGAACAGTGACCGGGCCTTCCTCCTGGCATAGGTGAGCATGGCCTGTGGACACCAAGCAGGCCCAGGATGCACAGAACTGCTCCCAATGACTCACAGTTGCTTTCCTTCAAAACCAACATTTCAGTTGAAAAATACGTCTTAGCTAAAGGGACTTCAGGAAGGTGAAGAGTGACCAGACCTGCGCTTCAGGGTTCATCCAGGACCTCAGAATGTGCTTCAGGGAAAATACAGCGGGTACAGAAAGCAGTTTTAGCCATCTGTGACTTGGGGTGCTTTCCCAGAAATGATAAGTTAGTTCCCTGTAACTGGAACTATTTTAAAAACAGAAAGAAACTAGAAAACAGTTTTGTAGAGAGATTATAGTGGGAATCCCCAGCAAGAAGGATTAATACTGACAGGAGCAGTGGCCTTGAACATGGTAGAGATACTGACAGCGGCACCAGTGAGGGTGTAAGTTCCAATCTGTTGTTTGTAGGGTCTCTGAGTCATAGTCGACTGTAGTGCCCTGACAACAGCATTATAGATGGGGTTTCCATAGATAGGAATTTGGGCCAATTGACAGCTAGGGTTTCTTTCCTCTTAAAGGTGGTGCTGTTTCTTGACATTGTAAAGTTGCATTCAGCATGCATGATGGCTAGCCTGTGAACCTGCTCCTTTCTCCTTGAGAACAGGGGACAAGAGAGAGCTCTGTTGTTGTTATGTGCTGTAGAGTCGCTTGCGACTCATAGCGACCCTGTGTGTACAGCAGCCCTAAACTCTGCTCTGTCCTGTGCCAACCTCATTGCCTCCGACACACCCATCCTGATTACCCCAGTCACTGAATCAATCCACCTCATAGAGGGTCTTCCCCTCCTGTGCCGTCCCTCCACCCTCCCAAGCATGATGTCCCTCTCCAAGGACCTGTCTCTCCTTACAACATGTCCAAAGTATGTCAGACGAAGCCCCAGAATCCTTGCCTCCAAGGAGTAGCCTGGTTTAACCCTCTACCTAAGAGAAATTATTAGGGAAACTTTCATGAGGTTCTGAGAAGTCCTAAAACATCCAACCTGGGTGCATTTCAAATCTCTAAACTCAAAAATTACATAATCACAAAATGAGCAAAAGCATTTGTCACCAACATTTCATACTCAGTGTCCTGACCTTATAGAGAGGAATCCTGGTGTCAGAGAATGTTAAAGCGCTAGCCATAATGTCAGCAGGTGGAAGTGACCAGAAGCTCTGTGTTTCCCTAAAGTCTATGGCCTGGGAAAGTTGACGGGCAGCTCTGCTCTCTGCTTGGGCTGCTGTGGGTGGGGGTCAGCGCCTCGGCAGCAGGCGTCCTGGGCTGGGCCTGGGGAGGACGGCAACTCACCCTGGATACTTTGAGGTTTCTTGTGGTTACGGTGAGTTCACTCAGATCAGCCAACGGCGAGAAGATCCTTCTGATTCCCAGCTTCTTCAACAGTTCATGCATCTCGTACTTCTGATCTAGCTTGAACTTGGGAAAGAAAACTTCCATTTTGCTGTGGCACAAGTACATATAACAATGAAATGTAGACAAAGCTGCAGTGCTAGACCACACCCTTCCCTCCTCCTCTTTCTGTCCTCTAGAATGGTTTCTGCTGGGAAGGCTGTGCCTTGCTCAGCTCACGAGATAGAGCCGTTCTTTTGTCATGTCACCTTAGAGGGAGTTTTGGGTTTCCCTTAGCTCTACTGTGAACCTACTCCATGAGAATGAGCCAGTTCTATTTCTCAGTGAATGACCCACAGTCTTTTCTGCAAAGAAGGCCACCCTTTGTGTCCATTTTCTTATTTTAAAACCACTGAAACTAAGCTGATGACTGTTTTCTAGGCCATCTTTCAGACCTCTAGATAAAGACGGCTTTCATGAAATTTCTAAAATAAAGTTTCTAAAATACACTAGAGCTTCAAGGAGGCCCCAGGAGTCTGCAGCCACCCTAGTTGTGGGAGGGCGTGAAGGACCTGTCAACCCCTGCCCATCTTCAGAGACACTCAGGCATTGTCTGTTTTCTGGTTTGAAGTTCTGAATTAGTCTTCAAGAACTCTTTTTTTTTTTTTTAAATTAAACTGAAGTGAGGCAAAATACAAAACAAAAAGCCACTAGCAATCATACAGGACTGTCAGTGTATTAAGTAGTGTATGTTGAATATGCAGAATAAGGTGCATCATGTAGCAAGAGTTTAATGTACCTTGTCCTCCTCCAGTCAGTCCCCTTTGCTGAGTTCAGTTGACTAGACGGACTGGAATATAACTGAGGACATGGCATGTCCTGAAGGTTGATGATGCACATTTTCAGTCAGGTAACATTTGTTGAGGGCTTACGTGTCTGGATCTTTACTTGGCACTAAGGACTCAAAGGAAAATGAAGTTGAATAATGAAGCTGAAGTGGCCTTCGGGGACCATTAGCTGGCCTGGCTCGGGGGGCAGAGCACTGGGCCCTTAGGACAGCTTGCTTCCTTGTGTTCTAGTGCACGGAGCGGTTTATTCAACAAGCATTTGAAGGTCTCTGTGCCTCAGACGGGGCTCTTCTCTCTATACAGCGCCTCCCCCAAGCCAGAGAATCTCAGCATTCTATTTATAGGCCAATGACCCCAAATTCTTTAGCTCCAGCCTCTCTGGGTCTCTAGGTCCCAACCACTAACTACCTCCTTCACTTCGCTACTTGGATGTCGAATAGATATTCTGATCCAGGGGACTCCTCAGTTTACCCCCAGACCTGTTCCTCCTGTGGTTACTCCATTCCGATAAATGACAAGTGCATCCTTCAAGTTGTTAGGGTCAAAAACTTTCCCATCCTTTTTGGCCCCCCTGCTCTCTGTGTTCCTCATGTCTAACCCATTAGTAAATCCTACCACCTCTCATTTCATAAAAGGCCCAGGAGTTAACTCGTCCATGTGGCTGGCACTGCCACTGCTGTGGTCTAAGGCAGCCAGTGTTGATCTGGGTGGTCACAGTGGCCTCCTGCCTGGTCTCCTTGCTGCTCCACAGCCTTTTTCCTCCTGTGATCCTTTTTCAAACACAGGAGCGTGTTTGATGCCTCAAAATCTAAGATCACGTCATGCGCCTGCCCTGAACATGATAGTAGGTTTCCATCTCCCTCAGGAAAAGTCTGCCGTTTCTGTGGTCTGAAGGTCCTAGATTACTGACCCTCTGGCCCATCTCTGGCCTTGTCTTCAATCACACTGAGGCAGCCGTGCTGACTCGCGGTCCTCAGACCCCCCCAAGCACACTCCCATCTCAGAGACACTTTGCCTCCACATCTACGCGCGTCGTCTTTCATCTTCAGGATTTTGTTCCCTTCTTAGGAGACCTTCCCTGTCCCCCACCTGCACCCTATTCTTGACCTGCTTCATTACTGGGTAGCTGTCTCCCCTCGCGGAATGTAAGCACCACGAGGGGAGTGATTCTTGCCTGTTTTGCTCACTTGAGCAGCACAGTGCCTGGCGTGCTGGAGCAACCCCCTGTCATAGCTGGTAAATGAATGAGGATGCTAGGGACAAGGGAAGAGGCAGGACAGTGCCTTCCTGAAGCTGTGGCCCACTGAGGAGATGGACGTCAGAGCACAGTGCACTGGGTGGGAACGTGTGGTCCACGCCAGTGAGATGGACATCAGAGCACAGTGCACTGGGTGGATGGGAACGTGTGGTCCACACCAGCAGAGATGGATGTCAGAGCACAGTGCACTGGATGGGAACGTGTGGCCCACACCAGCAGAGATGGACGTCAGAGCACAGTGCACTGGGTGGATGGAAACGTGTGGCCCACACCAGCAGAGATGGAGACAGAGTGAAGAGGGCGAGGGCAAGGCCCCTACCTGGTCTTCATGTTCCGAAGCCACCCCTCCACCAGGTCTGTGGTCAGGAAGTCTTCAAATGCCAGGTGGTCACCCATCTTCTGCATGAGGATCACCAGCATGGTGGCGTTTCCTTCATAGGGCAGTTTGAGGACGTGACAGCGGAAATTCTTGTCAAAGGTGGAGGCGAACTTGCCTGACTTGTACATCATGGGCACCTTAACTGCCCTGTACTTGTCCAGGTGGAAGGTGTCCACTTCCGTGAACACAGGGTTAAATGGAGTCAGCCATTTTCCTGAAGAAGCAAGAAAAGAGCACATGGCAGAGACCACCCTCCTCGGAAACCTGGCTCCTACTGAGCTAACGGAGGGTGCAGCCCCCGTCCCCGCGTCCCGGGCTGCGTGGTGAGCTGACTCAGACGGACACAAATGCCTGCAGATTCGCTTTACCCAGGTCTTCCCTGGATGCACACCCCGGAGCAAGAACACCACTTCCAAGGATGCCTGTGCCCTCGTTCTGGGCCTGCACCTGTCTGCTCATCGCAGCTGGTACCCTAAATACCCACCATCTCCTACTCTCAGGCTCTGGCCTAGAAAAGATGGTGGGCCTTGCCTGTCCCTGTCAGCCCAAGGGGCCCTCTGTCTGCGAGGTCACCTCGTGCATGCCCATGAGCGGGCCGCATCACCTGCAGGGGCTGGTGGGGCCAGACCGATGACACCCCACCCACCCACTGTTTCAGGTGGTCCTAGGGGAAAAGGTGCCCTGCTGACCAATAGCCACGTGAGGCTGGAGTGTGTGACCTGGCCAGCAGTGGAGTGGGACTTGTCTTCTTGCACATGGATCTGCAGGCCTGGTGACTTATTAGGAGAGGCAGCATGGTGTCCTGGACAGAGCCTGACATCAGGGGCTCAGGAGACCCTGGCTCACATTCTGTCAGCTGCATGACCTTGGTCAAGTTAACCAACCCTCACAGAACTCCACTCTCCTCTGTAGAAAGGGGACCATAACTTCTGCTCTGCTTACTTTGTAAGCAATTCCAAAAATCAAATCATGAAATCCTTAACATATGGAGTACCTGCTAGTGGCAGCAGGGCACGACCCCGTGACCTTGTTCAAACCCTGTAGGCAGGAGAGCAAACCCAGCCTGCTGCCAGCAGGTCGGTTCTGACTCACAGCAGTGACTTCCCATCTGGGTTCCGAGGCTGCAAATGTTGACGGGAAGGGACCTCCCATCTTTCTCCTGTGGAGCCGCTGGTAGAGTCACACTGCTGGTCTTTGATTTAACACCCTGGCACGTACGGGGTAGAGCAAGGCTCCTTGATTGGCAGGAGTGGCAATCCAATCAGTGTTAAGAATCTAAGGACAGCATCACCTGCCCCAGGTTGTGAAGGAGAAAGTCTGTGGTCCTGAATCTCGGCGGTGATGAAGCCCACGCGGCATAGTGGTGGTTAAAACACTTGCCTGTTAACCTCCAAGTCTGAGGTTCAAACCTGCCAGTCACTCCACAGGGGAAATCTGAGGCATACTGCTTCCATAAACAGCCTTGGGGCCCCGGGGTGTTCCTCTCTGTTCTGCAGGTTCTCTGAGTTGGAATGGGATGGGTCATAACTGGGTTTGTTTTTACGCCCCTGGGCTGTAGCTTCAGATGCTCTAGATTACTGAGGGCATAAACACGCAGTCTGGGGCTGGGTCTCAGCAGACCGTGTCATCTACCACTGCATCGTGTAACCTCATACCCGTTCTCATCTAGGTGTTGCTCAGAGAGAGGGAAGGGAGAGGCAGGCGGCCTATGGCTGTGGGAAGGGGAACATGCTAGTGTACCTTTGAACAGGATGTAATCCATCAGAATTAATTTGGTTTCCGGATCAATCTTGTCAAGGAGCTGGGGGATCCTTCCCTGCGTCTCTTTCTTAATATACTGATTTACAAGCCCAGTGGCCTGTGATGTATTGAAGAAATCCACAGGCACACACTCTGTTTTGAAATACCTCTTGGATAAATTGAGGAAGGTCTCTTTGACGTCAAAATCCTTGTGGATGAAGGCCAGGTTGCCGTGGGTAAGGCCCAGCTCCTGATTGAGGGACAGGGTCTCTCTGAGTCCCCTGAAGAGGGCTGGCAGGGTCCCATTCAGGGCCTGCAGGCCCAAGCCGCTCAGGATCTGGGTGCGAGTGGGCCCCGCAGCCCCCAGCATGAGGGTCGCCATGGCGAAGGACAGGCTGAGCGGGGAGAAGACCACGTTGCCTTCGTGTCTCGTGGAGATCTTGCGCAGCAAACGGAAGGCAAAGTTGGAAATCTGCTGTGAGAGTTCCTGCTCATTGGCCACCGACCAAGGCTCTTCCTCCTCCTCCTCCTCGCCAGGCTGGGGAACGAAGGTCCTCAGAGGCTCCAGCGTCCCTGCCTCAGCCTCTGGCACTGGTGTGCTAGGGGTCAAGCCAGGCACTGGGCATACCTGTGCCAGGAAGAACAGTAGTAGCAGGCTCAGCCCCACCTTCATGCCTTGTCCTCCGAGCAGCTGGACCTCCAGGCTCTAGAAATGAAGAGGCAAGATTACTGCAACTGCTTCTCTGCTCACCTCCTCCATGTGGTGGGCACGTCCTCCTGGGACCCTGCTGCTTTGTGTGTGTGTGTGTGGGGTCCCTCTCTGCCCTCTGGCAATGTCTCTTGGCTCCTTCACATTCCTCTTCGGGGAAGGCCTTGTTCCGCCCATCCGTCCTCCACCTGGGCAGACCCACGTGGCCTCCCAAAGAGACAGGTGAGGAGGCCTGGGTGAAGACTATTGTCCCTACATGGGAACTGAAGGGACGTACTTAGTCTATGGACACGCTGGTGCTGGGAGTTTCCTGGGCCTGAGCAGTGTGTGGCGTGTCACACTCCCAACCCAAAGGTTGCACGTCTCCAGGGGCTCTCATCCACCAGTGACTGAGGGAGAAAGATGAGAGGGTAACTTTCTGACCCTATAGTACTTGAGGATCCCCCTGTAGCTTGAATGTGGCTCAACATTCCACTGCAGTCTCCTTCCTGTGCTTAACTGGGGAACTCGCCCACTGCCATCAAGCCAGTTGTGACTCACAAGCCCTCCAGCACACAGTTGTTATGTGCCTTCGAGTCACGTGCGACTCACAGCGACCCTATGTAGCCCTAAACCCTGCTCTATCCTGTGCCAATCTTATTGTCTCTGACATGCCTATCCCCATTACCCTAGTCACTGATTCAGTCCATCGCATCAACGGTCTTCCCTTCCTGTGCTGTCCCTCCACCCTCCCAAGCATGATGTCCCTCTCCAAGGACTGGTCCCTCCTTGCAATATGTCCAAAGTGTGTCAGACGAAGCTTCAGAGTCCTTGCCTCCAAGGAGCAGCCTGGCTTCACCCTCTCCAGGATGAACTTGTTCATTTTCTTAGCAGTCCATGCTATATTCAGTACTACTCACCAGCACCACAGCTCAAAGGCATCAGTTCTCCTCTATTCTCCCTAGTCATTGTCCAGCACAGAGTAAGACCTCCCAAATGCTGGGCTTCCACTGCTGTCATCTTTACAGGAGCAGATTACCTCATCTCTTCCTGTGGAATGACAGGTGGGTTTGAACTACTAACCACCACTTGATTAGCCACAGCTCTACCACAGGCCTTCCATGTTCCATATGGTATTAGTTCAACAGCTGAGCCTTACACGGGGACTAGAGTGCCAGCAAGCACACCAAATCCACACCTTTCTACATAGTACCCAAGTGGTAAGGCCAACTGTTCATCTCCCCGATCATGTGGCTCCAGGAATCACTGACCCCCAGTTTTTCACCTGAGACCATCAAGGGGAGCCCTGGGGAAAGGAGGGCGGCTTGGCCTGGAAGGAGTGTCCTGGCATGTGGACTGGTTGGTGACAGGATCTCTATTCTAAAAGCCCCTTCCCATGGGCCTCTGTCCTGCGCAGAAACCATCTTCCCAGCTATGACAGGCTTTTGCCCACACCTGGGTCACCAAGACCAGGCAGAGTGTCCTGCTGCAATAGGTTTGCTGAGCTGGGGTTGACTTGATGGCACTGAACAAGAGGGAGTCTAGGTTTGAGGTCTGTGCTCTGCCTGCCCATCTCCTCATCAGGGACAATGAGGCCTCTGTCCCACCTGACACCCATCTCTCCCGAAGGTTTCCCTTTAAGGCTCTGCCTCTTACCTGTGAAGGGCCCTCTGGTGCCTGGGAAAGTCCTTCATTCAGGGCAAAGATAAAGGTTAAGGTTTGCAGCCCAAAACCTTCAGCAAATATTTGCTATTCCAAAGTATGTTTCCCTTGTGGGACTGTTACTAATTAACGTCTTGCTTGGAGATGATGGAGTTTCTGGAAAATTGACCGTGTTAATCCCTTTTCCCAGCTGCCTATGCCCTGAAGATCCACCTTCAAGATAGTGCTTTTCATCTCAAGGTTCTGCTTTAGTAAGACCAGCGCCTTCAGGAATGTTGATGTGGGAGAGATTCCAATGTACCCTAGATCCCAGAAGCCAAGTGTGGAAAAGGTGATGGGGTCCCTTGATGCTCCTGCATGTCCAGCCTAATGCTGGACCCCAGAGAAGCAGAGATGAGCCAACCCAGCTTTCCCCACATCCTGAGGACCTTCCAGTCCACTGGGGGAGACAGACAGACTAACCACTAGTTCAGTGTGAGGCCTGTTTCAAGGAGAACTTCCTACTTAATTATGTTCACTAACCGTGAGACTAGTGAGTTTCAAAATCAAGCTGGTGGAAATCCTTTAAGAAAAATACTTCCCTGCCTACAAAATCCCTTTTATAACATAAATAGTTTTTCTTTTCCCGCACCTTTCACTCTTGGCTGCCTTTGAGTCAACTCTGAGTCATGAATACCCCACAAGTGGGAGAATTGCATGCTTGTAATCCAGGGGGTTTGCATGGGCTGGTTTTCAGACAGAGAGAACCAGGCCTTTCTTCCTAGTCCAGAAGCCACTGAGCCCTGTGCAGCATTTGAACAGCACACAAGTCTCTGCGGGCAGACAGTGGTGACTAGGTGTGAGATAGATGCACTGTCTGGGTATTGAGGCTGGGCCTTCTAAATAGAAGGCAAGAATTCATTGAATGTGGTACAGGAGGTCACTGTAATATGTAATAGCATCTTTATTAACTTGGTGTTATAACTCATCAAGTGAATAGGAGAGACTATGCAAATAATGTGCTTGCAACCCACTAAGGAGATTGGGCGACTTGCTAATAATGCAAATCTTATTTGCATGGCATGTGAGAATCTGCAGGTAATGTGCCCCTAATAAGATTGGTCAATTTTGCCATCCCCCTGGGCTTAAAATGTTGAGTCATTCTGGAGGCAGACAGGAGAGACCTCACTACCACCACGAAGGAATGGAGGTGGTGTGCATCCTCTGCTCCCAGGGTTCCTGAGCTGAGAACTACAACTCACGAGAAAAAGCTCCAACATCAGAGACAGTTCAAGGCAGCAGAGAATAGCAGCAGCAGACCCAGGAGGCTGATGTGAGGCAGAGCAGTGGGCTTCCCGTGCGCAGAACAGGGTGCCTTAGAGGGGCGACTGAGCCACGAAGCAAGAGAGCTGAGTGCACTTGAGCAGGGTGTCTTTGCAGAGCATGCTGGCCCTGACTGATAGAGCTCAAAGCTTTGTAACACTTCCTGAGCAGCATGGAAGCCGGGCCCAGGGGCCGAGGCCTGACTGTGGACACGGCTGAGCTGAAGTTGTAAGCAGACAACTCTACCCTGAGTCTCCTAGACCCTGAATTATTATTGCCTGTTCTCTCCCTAATAAACTCTGTACTCCTGAGTACGGTCTGTGAGTTATGTGTGGTCATTACAGCTAGTTACTGAGCCCAGCAGAGGGTGCTGGGGAAATACAGCTGGTGTCAGAATTGATGAGAAAAATAAAAGTTGGAGAGAGAAGGCACTTCCGACCTCCACCTCATTGCTGTCTTGGGCTGTTGGTGCAGATAGTTATGAAGAAGAAGAGAAGTTAGAAGAGGAGGCTGAACAGTGAGCAACGCCGGTGTTGTACCATGTTCACATTAAGCTGCCTGCAGCGTTGTGGCCACTGTTGTTAGGTGTCAAATTGACCTGACTCGCTGTGACACTGCGTACAACAGATTGAAGCCTTGCCTGCCCCTGTTCCATCCGCAGTGCCCGCTCTTGAAGTCATCATGTCAGTCCATCTCATTATGGGTCTTGGTTTCCTCCACTGACCCTCTGCTTGTCTACGAATGATCTCCTACTCTAAGAACTGGCCCTTCTTGACAATAATGACTCAAGTATAAGAGACAATGTCTTCCTCCTTACCTCTTCAGGAGCACCCTGGTTGCACACACTGCAAGACAGTTTTGTGGGTTCATTTGGTATTGTATGGTCTATTTCATATTCTCCCCCAGCACAATGCAAAGGCATCGATTTTTCCTCAGTCTTCCTTATTCATTGTCCAACTTCCACATGCCTATGAAGTGACTGAAAAATACTATGGCTTGGGTCAGGCACACCTCAGTCTTTAAGTTGATATCCTTGCTCTTTAGCACTTGGTATTAGGTGTGTTAAGTCACATCATTCCCATGTACAACAGAACAGAACACTGCTCCATGCCCACATCATTGCCACATTTGAATGGATTGTTGCAGCCTTTCTATCTATCTATCAGTCCATCTCTTTGCTAGTCTCTTTTTTGATGCCCCTCTGCCCAGCATGAATGCCCCTCTCCAGGAACTGGTCCCTTCTGTTAATGAGATCTCAAACTCATGAGACAGTCTTGCTGCATTTGCTTCTAAGGAGTATTTCATTTGAAGGCAGAATGGTGAGGATGTTCAGGCCTTGCGGGAGCTGGACTTCAGATTATCTGACTTCCAGTCTGTATTCAGTCTTAGCTGATCACAGACCTGTAGTTAAACACCAGAAGGCGCTGAGAAGTGCCTAGGGGATGCCATCTATCAAAGAGATACAGAACCTTCCAGGAATTCACTCGGGCTGAAGGTACTGCACTACGGAGAGCCACCTCTTAGGACAAGACCCAGGGACATCTCAAGCAACTGTGCCCTGGGACTCACAAGACCACAGTCGTAAAACACCCTGGGCCGATTGCCTGCATAATGAGGACTGAGGAAGCAGAAACACAAGGGTGGTAGGTTCCCCGCCTGAGTGGGTCCATAGGAACATTCCAGTGGGCTGGTAGCAGAGGGGTGGAAAAGAAGTCACTTCCAATACCTTACAACGCGGTCCAAGTGAAGCAAATGTCCAGTGTGTGCCAGCTTGTGCCTCCTTCCATTGGCACCAGGCACAGTAGTGGGGAAACTTCTGGTCTCTGCTCGAGCCTCGCTGGCACCTGCCGGCTGCCTCACCTGGCAGTGTGACAGGCTGAAGCCTCTGTTGAGATGAGCGTTTCTCTAGGACAGTCAGGATTTCTTGCTCTGGCCACTGCCTTTGAGGTGCTTTGGAGCACTGTGGCTTCTGGTGACAGAGTAGCACTGTCCCACGGGGATGTCTGAGCTGTTGTCGTCAT